TCTAAGTAGATAATTATAAACTTACTAATAAATTCTCGTAGAGTATTATTTATAATTCTCTAAAATATCGAAGAGATATTAGTAAATCTAAATAATATAACTAAGAACTTATACTTATCGAATCGTATATTAAAGACGATCTTTTCGATAAATATCTTTTCTATCTAGATCTAGTAATATTCTTAGATAAGATCGGCCTTCGAGAGCTATTAAGCGACTTTAATAGTATTAAAATAGTTCTAGATTCGGAGTAAAAAGTAGATATTCTTAACGGTAATATTATTAAAAAGATAGTAGTCGATATATATTCGCTATTTATCTTTAGATTTAGATATAAAGAGTATAGAGAAACTTTATAGACTTTTTAAGAGTCGAATTAGACTCTATTCTAGTAAAATATAAATTTACTAATCTTATTTATCTCGATATTCTTTCGATAAAAAGTAGTAGAATAAGTTAATAAACTTAATATTATTTATATCGATTTCGTACTTAATATTCCGCTTCGTTAGAAACTTAGTAGATAGTTCTTCTTAAAATACTATTTTAAATCTTTCGAGAATATACCTAAAACGTCTATTCTTAGTTCTAGATATTAAAGAGGTTAGTTTATTACTAGGATTCTATTCTCGTATAAGATATAAGATAGAAGTCTAGTCGGATATAGATAGTTTAGAAATTATCTTCTAAGTCTTTCGAAAGCTAAGTAGATTTAATTCGATCTTTTCGATATCTTTATAGTTAATAGTTCGAAAGAGTCGAAAAGATATCGAAGTTAATTTTCTAGTTTTATTACGTATCGTTATATATAAGTAACTAAAATTCTAGAAAGCGCTATACTTCTTTAGCTAATTAAGTCTAAGAATAATATTATACGCGTTCTAATTTAAGATACGAAGTATTATTCGAGCTTAAAAGTTATCGATAGTTAAATCTATTATAATAGCTTAATTAAAGAGAGTTATTTTACTATTAGTAAGATATACTTAAAGAGATAATCTCTAGATAATTTTATAGTTCTTATCTAGTTACTTAGTAACTCTTCTTAAGACGTAAAAGATATTAGAGTCTATATTAAGAAGAATCGTAATAAGATAAGAATTATTATATTATTCTAGCGACTCGCTAGCGATATTATATCTCTAGATATAGTCTAAGTTATAATTAAAGACTTCGATTATATTAATAGTAATATCTATTAGATTATCGAAAGAAGAGTTAGAGTCTAATAGATTTATATTAATAGTCTTTAAAGAGTCTATAACTTCTTTATTATCGCTAGATACCCTACTATCTAGCGACTCTTCTCTTTTCTTTAGTAGTCTCGTCTTATAAACTTCTTTAAATTAGAATAATCTTTCTTTTAATAGCTAGCTTCTTTATAATCGAAGTAGAGATTATTATCTTAATACTTCTAATAAAAGCTACTTAAGAATCTACGTTCGTTTTTATAACTATACGAGATTTTAGTCTTAGTAGATAAAAAGAATTCTAGTTAAAGACTATTAAGAGCTATCTTAATATTACTATTAACGTTCTTATAATCTAGTTAGATAATCTAAGGAGATTAAGAAGATTTTCCTAAGGAAAATCTTCTTAAGCGATCTTAAAAAGAGACTATTCTATATATATTAGTTTATATCTCTCTTTCGCTTTTATTTATAAAAAGAGTATAATCTCTATAATTTTAGAGAAGTATAGTATCTAGAAGAAGTTCTATTTAATTTTAAATAGCTATTCTAAACTCTTATTTAAAAATAAATAGATATTTAGCGTCGCTAGAGCGAGAGTCGAGATATAGTCGAAGAGTTTCGATCTTCTATCGAAACTCTTATACTATTTCTATTTATTTAAGAAAGTTAAACTTATCTTAATATTACTCTTATATCCTAATATTACTAAACGCCGTCTAGAATACTTTCTTCTATATCTCTTAGTTAGTTAGAAGTAGATCGATTTCGAGACTATATTTTATATCTTAATATATAAGATTTTACTATATTAAGATATTATCTTTAAGATAGAAAGTTACTAAAGTAATATATTTATAGTCTATTAAAGAATATTTATTAACGACTTTCTTTATATCTAATTATCTTTCGATATAGATTAGCTAGACTCGTATTATATTATTATTTTAATAACTCTTATATTTTAAAGGCTTTTCGAGCTTTATTCCGCTAATATCTTAAAATAAATCTAACGATAGATACTACTATCTAGATAAAAGTCTAGATATATTTATCTAGTCTATAGATAAGAGGGTAATTCTTAATAGACTATCTATAGATATTAAAGTAAAGATTTTAGAAGTTCTATAGTATTATAAATAGTCGATAAAAGCTATTATAGTTCTTTTTAGATTTCTAAAACGATTCTCTTCTAAAAGTCTATATATTCTTTATAAATTAGCTTCTTCTATAGAAATATCGATTTCTAATACTACTATTATTAGAGTTAAGAGAGTATTTATATAATATTTAGTATAAAAGAGCTTTTAAGTATAGTTTACGAAATATAAGTAAAAAACGAGCGGAAGATAATATATAATAGAAGAAAGATAAGTAATCTTAAAAAGAATATATTCTTTTTAGACGTAGTTTACGAAATATAAGTAAGAAATAAGCGGAAGATAATATATAATAGAAGAAAGATAAGTAATCTCGAGAAGAATATATTCTTTATAAAAGCTTCTATCTCGTTTAGTAAGAGCGCTTTATAACTAGCTCTCGATACTCGAGATCGTCTCTAGTTAAATAGTACTTTACCTCTTAAGAGGCCTTACTATATATCTTTCTTTAATCGATCTATTATTTTCTACTATTTATAATAATATAAGTAGATCTAGATAAATCTAGATAACTATCTAGTTTCTACTAATAGAGTTTAAACGAGATCTTAATAAAGAGTTCGTTTTAGTAGTAATATTTCTTTCTCTATTAACGCGTCGAGCTCTTCGACGATATTATCGTTTATAATATCTAGATCGATAGAATATAATCGAGAATATCGAAGTAGTTATTACTATTATATCTTAGTTATATCGCTAGTTATTATTTATAGCTAAAAGTATCTAAGGATAGCGAGACTAAAATTTTTAGAGAAAAAAGTTACTATTTACTACTATAATTTATCTTTCTTAATAAGAAATTTTTATCGCTACTCGTCGTTTTAAGAGTATAATTCTCGTAAGTCTTCGCTACGAAACTAGAAGAGATTCGTTAAGCGTAGAAGATAAGCTTCGAGCTAGAAAATTTTCTTATCGATTAGTTTCGCTATATATCGAGATAATTTCGTTTATCTTTAATTAGCTTCGTATAGAAGAATATCGATCTTCTCGACGATCGACTATACTTCTCTTCTTCTTAAGAGAGCGTAGAAGTTCTTACGAACTCTAGTTTAAGGTAGAGAACTATCTCGTCGCCGCTACTAAATATAATTATATAGAGAACTTATTCTATTTTAACGGGGCCTAGGGCCTTATTAGACTATATACTTTCTAGAGGTTATACGATAGCGTACGACGCTAGTCGAGATCGAAAGACGGTCCTCGACGTCTTTATAATGCTTGGCACGTAGGGTGCCCATTTTGTCATAGAGCTGGGGCCAAATACCACGTCCCACGGCATTGTAGGCGACGCCACAAATCCCATGATCGAATAACACGGCTGAGGCCAGTGCAAGGATACTTCTTCCTGGGTTATACTAGTAGTACTTTTTGTTAATCACGAGACGCAGCTTAGTCCTGCCTTTCCTGGTATAGCCGGATTCAAGTTCAGCCTGAGTAGCATGTCCTTCCGAACATTTCCTAGCATCATGGTCTCTTCGGCTTGAGCTTGCCGGACGACATGGAAGTACGTGCCATTCTTATCATTATTTTCACTATAAGCGCTGAACGTCGCCTGCTAAAGGAGGGGTGATAAGGCTGGGTTGTCCTTGGGCTGGTGCCAGAAGTGTTCTGAACCAGATTCTGCCTTACCTATGATGTACAGACCAGCGTTCAGTCACACAGGTGAACAGTCTTGGCCGTACATGTCTGCTACCACGCTTATGGTTACCAACCAGGCGTACTGGAAACGACACTGAACGGTGTGGGCCGCCAGTGACTCCCGTTGGTGTCCAGCTCAGGTGTGACCAGCTTGGAACCCATCTCACACTGCCGGAGCACTCTTTCGCCGGTCATACTCCTTAGACAGTGGGATAGACAATAGAATGCAATGCCCTAAAAAGTTCACACCAACCTAGAGGCCACAGGCTCCCCATTCCCTTTCTCCGCCCGGTGTCACAATGAACGGCTTGCGGGCCACGAGCGTTGAGTGGCTTTTGAGAAAAAGGTTGATGATGCCCTCCAGAGTGGTCATAAGAGCCGCCAGATGTTGTCCATCGGCTGAATGGTCCTTCATTGCGTTGAAACATCCTCAACTTTCCCGTTGAGTCGTGCTCTCTTTTTCTCATGGCCACTGCAACTGGCATAAACGGGGTAGAGCAACAGACCGATGGTGCTTGTAAGCCTTTGAAGGGCGCTGCTATCTGCCCATGAAGCCTTGTAGCACTCGACCGTGGACAACCGGCATTTCTGGTATATGATTGCGTGCAAGGTACTGTATACCCTTCAGCCGTCTCCGTCTTCCGCATCATCTTCCTCGGGATCCGGTCTAGGTCGATGCCCGCTCCTTCGTCTGCCACTCTGATAACTTTCCGATGTCGTGATAGCCTTTTCCCCAACATAATGCTGGCCATCCCATTCAGTCTGGCAGAGAGGACATGTCTGGGAGCGTTGCATTCGGAAGAAGTTCTGGGTGCAAATATTATGAAGGCGACAGCTGCATTCACGCCGCGGACACCGTTGACCCTGTTTGATCCAGTCAGTCAGTTACATGATCCAGCTGTCTGGCCAGGCTCAACCTGTCTTTTCGAAAACATACCACGGTAATGATCTCCTTGCACGCATGACAGAACTTGATCTTATCTCGTCGATGCCCATCTTCATCCTCGTCATTGTAGGTATCGACCAGCCAGCCCTTCAACTCCATCAACGCGCGTGGACTCAAACTGTAAAACCCTAGCTTGCTCTTCTCCAACCAGCCTTCATCCAGCAATTTGCCCAGCATGGCCTCGGCATCTCTAGCACCTAACATTCCCGCCGTCGACGATGTAGTTGTCGTCGCGGCGTTGTTGTCATTCTGTGTCTCACGCCTGCTCTTCGCCCGTCCCACTTGAATCGCCTCAATCGCACTCAGACACATGGCTTCGCGCTTCCCCTTATTGTTCGGCCCGTCAAACATTGCATCGAGCAGTTTCTTGACATAAAGAATCTCATCCGCGGTGTAGGTCGTAGCCAATTGCGTCAACGAGTCGCTGGTCGTGTTGACCAGAGCGTAAAACCGTTCTCGAGTCTGTTGGTGGAATGTGCTGCGGATCTCTAGATCAAGTGGCGACAGGGCTCGATTCGCCTCCGATATGTAGTAGTTCAAGTCTTCAACCGTCATGTCCTGCGGTTGGACTTCGCGTCCGTCTTGGAACGTCGAGATGGCCGCCAAGATGGGCTTCGCCGTCTCCAGGGTGAGCACACTCCGAGCGAGAAAGGCCTGCAAAAACGCCCGGTTGGCATCGTTGTAGCCTGATGCTGGGCCTAGGTCAGCCATCTTGCCGGCGAGTATTTATGGTACTATGAGATGGAGACGGTGTTCATCATTGATTGTCTATCGTTCGAAGTCCAGCGCTGCCCGCTCTACCACAAAAACAAACCAAAACCACTTTACGCGTGTGGAAAGACGCGTACCCCGATTTTGGAAAATGGTAGGCGCTGCTCTACGCGAGGCAGATCCTTCGCCGATATTATTGGCTGTTTCAATGTACTGTTACTTATTGCAGCGGCCCACTGCAATTGGTTGACTTAACGACGTTTCCTACTATCGTTCAATAATCGTTGACAACTTAAATGGCATCGCAGCCGATCATGTCCTGAGTTCTGTCTTCAGGCGAGAGACGTGGTCCTTGATTTTCGCGCTCTGGGGTTGTCTTCAAATGTGTTGTCAAGAGAACACTGGCAGGATCAGCCCAAAGTGAGGAATTGAATCGCCAACTATCTACAACAAATTCGGCTCGTACAAGTACGAGAGTCGGCCGGGGTTGAAGTCGCCTTAGTTTCAGCCCACCTCAGAGAAGGAGCCAAGTAAAAGGATACATACCTAGCGAGGTAGGTACAGTAACATTTTCCCCACTGTACCCAAACTACAACAGACGCGCTTCATGTTTTGTCCACTTGGATTTGATAGCTTGTTGCAGTGCTTGGTTGATCAGGCATCTTCACTCGACAGAATCGGTCCCAGCGTAAATTGAACCATGTCTCCAACCAGGAGAGGGAGGCATGCAATTTAGTAGCTGAGCCTCCGCGAGCTGTATCTCAATCTATAAACTAAGGTAGGTAGAACCTACTTCGCTTCGCTCCGCAGGGAAAATAAAAGGCAAAACAAAACGCGGCGCACACGTTCTCACGGCAAAAGCAAAAGCAAAAAAACAGGTCTCACAAGCCCCAGTCGTACAGGAGGTGTGTGAGTGACTGAAAACCCCCGGTGTTTTATGCCATTAGGGTTTTTTGACCGAACAATTGTGGTTGAGAAGTATTTTATAGCCGACCTAGTTGTTGAACTCGAGACTAGGCACCAATCCCAAATCAACCTACCCACCTAGGCCATAGGACCCGATGGTGGTGAAGTGGCGATTGTTGAAGGGAATTGTGCGAGTGTGAAATATATGTTTAGGTATTCAACTCGAGGGAGGCCGCCCGTGAAGTCGGGGCGGTGATAGTGAAGGCCGGCCGAGGCTAGGTATCTAGGGAAAAGCCATCCATCCCCAGTCACCGTAAGCAGAACAGCCTGAGCTTTTGGTCTATCACAGTTGGACTTGCCAGATGTTTCAAGCATCCAAACCTCCTCGGGACGACTGGCAGTACGCTCCCTACCAACGATTTCTAAAAAATTTTGTATATACCAAGGCCATATACCTATAGTCATGCTCATCGCCATTGAAAACCTCTATCCCGCATGTCCATCTGCAACAGCTTTGCCATCAGCCGACCGCCGGTTGCCCAGAACTTCTTCTGTAGTTTTAACAATCACGTCAAAAGCCGCTCTAACATACTTCTCCTCTGCGTTCGGGTTGCCACTGACAACACGGATGAAAGACTTGCCCGCTGAGCTGCTGCAGGTCAGAAAGACCTCGCCACGCTCGTTGATAAGCTCGCCGATATGCTTCGTGGCCGCATTGGCCTCCTGCTCATGCTGCTGAGCCGCCGCGGTCTGTGGAACGAAATCCGCCTCCGTTTCCGCTGTGCTTTGTATCTCCATCAACACAGAAGGTTTGACTCGGAAACAGGTCAGAGCGAAAGCGGGCTCCGTGACGAGCTCAAACAAGTCCGACCTTCCGCGTACCAAATCAGCAAAGGTCTCTCCTATCGCCACCGTCTTTCGAATATGGTTTTGCAGGCCTTCCACACCGTAGTTGCGCATGACGAACCAAATCTTCAACGCGCGGAACCGACGACCAAGAGGGATCTGCCAGTCGCGGTAATCCGTGACCAGACCACTGTCCGTATGTTTATTGGCATAGTAAGCAGCGGAGATGGAAAGCGCTCGAGTCAGATGGTTTCTGTTTTGGACAAACAGACATGAGGCGTCGAAATTGACCAGCAGCCACTTATGCATGTTCATGTTGAACGAGTCGGCTATCTTCATCAAAGGGGAGTACTTTGACGAATATTCGGGACAAACAAGCGCTGCTCCTGCATAGGCGGCGTCGACATGGACCCACAGGTTCGGGTGGGCTTTCAGGATCGGTGCCAGCCCAGCGAAATCGTCGACGGCGCATGTCGACGTGGTGCCCAAAGTCAGCGTAATGTAGTATGGTTCCAACCCCTCAGCCTTGCACTGCGCGAGGACGGCTTCCAGCGCTTCAGCCTTCAAGGACAGCTGGTTGTCAAGCTTGGCAGCAATAGACCGGTAGCGGGTTCCGGCGATCAATGCACCTTTCTGGGTGGAGGAATGGGCTTGGTCGGATGACAATGCCACCAGTCGTCCGCGCAGGAACGCGATCCGGTCCTCGCGCTCCTGTGAGCCGGGGGCAAGACCTTCAGCGTCGCATTTGGTATGGAGATACCGTTCTCGCGCGGCCACCATGCATGTCACGACCGCTTCGGAGGCTGAACCCTGGATCGTCCCTCCACCGCCTGTGGCCGACGTGCTGAGAAACTCTTGGGGTAGATCGAATGCTCGAGCCAACCAGTCCATGACTACCGTCTCCAGCTCCGTACAGGACGGGCTACATAACCAGTTGAAGGCTGGGGCGGTAAACGCAGCGGAATACAACTCTCCCAACATCGAAGGGTACGTTACTCCTGCTGGGAAGAAGGCCATGAACTTTGGCGATTGCCAGTGCGTGAGCCCGGGGACAATCTTGGATGCAATGTCCGGTTGGATTTGCGACCATGGCTGTGGCTTTTCTGGAGCTGTCTTTGGTAATTGAGGTGCTAGAAATCCCGGTTTCACTTTGGGAAGCACGGGATAATCCGCTATATTTTGGTTATATGCAATAACTGGCCTGCTTAGTTCGTGATTTTGATCGAGGTCGAAGGTGTTTCGTACGTACTCTCTTCAATGGCCGCATGTGCCGCCTCTCTGAACTCGTCCGCATCCATAGCTGATCTTGCCGAGCGAGAGACTAAACGGTGGGAAATGGAGCTGATCGAGAATGCTTTATGGAATCCGGGACTTCGGTAAATCGACCGTCTGAGCATATATGCCAAGAATCCGAGCCTGCTCATTTTTAAAATCCTCTCCAACTGGCGATGAAATACCAAAACTAATATATAATATGCAGGCCTCCCCTACCACTGTTCATAATTCAGTCATCCATGATGGTCTCCGCCTTTGCACTGACGACCTGCCCTTCTCCAGAGCGGAAATAAGTGCGCACCACCCGAGTTCCGTACATTATATTTGTAAGGTTGTTGCAGGGAAATCAGCTTCTAGTTCAAAACGTCGGGCACAGCCCATAATATTGGTGTAGGATGCAATTTTGCCGCTACCCCGCATTATTCATCGCTGATCGTAATCTATCAATACAGTGTTTGTTCGTGCTCTTCACAACTCGTGATCCCGCACTCGTCAATACAATTCTCATTCGTATCTTTATGCCGGTGGATCATCAGCCTGAGATTTCAAGCCGATATGCATCTTGAATCGTCTTTTGTTCGCTTGCAGACTTAGACCAGCAGTTTGTAGGCCCAGCTGTTCCATAACAGTATCGACTTCACGTGCACTCATCCGAGCAAGGTGTGCAGATGTAGCTAGGAATCCGGCAATAAGACCACCGGTCACTAGGTCAACAAATGGCGAAAGGGGTCCCGATGCTCTCAAGAGGTAAGAATTTTGGACTCGGGCTGTATTATTGAGATCACTATAGAATTTAGCATAGTAATATTAGAAAATAGAGGGATAACGAGTGCCTTGTTGTTATTCTAGTAGCGAGTTTCTGGACGTTCTGATTGATTCTCTCTTCAAGACGAGTAAGTCGCTCGCTTAGGTCATGTCTCATTTCCTGAATCGCGGCTAGAATTGCTTCGCCGGCGGCAATCACAGGTAGATTTTGGAATTTCCCCAGTTCAGGGGCAGCAGTACGCATCGATCGGCCGAGCAAATTGATCTCCGGCTGAGGACCGAGGGGGTTTTCGTCATCCATCGCCGTGATGGTTAAGTATGATGGTTGAGCGTGATGGTTGAGTTGAGTGTGGCGTTTGTTTACCAAAACCAATGAGATGGGTTAGCGTCGAGGAAAGAGCAATCCAAAATCGGCGGGAGATTTCCCTGCAACCTGCATTGAACTGTATTTCATTGGCCAAGAATCTGGAGCCTCGCCGGCTTGCCCGATTAGTCAGCGATACTCGAATGAGTACAGCGGAGGTGGAGCATCGACATAGGAAATCCTCCCGGCTTTCACCAGGGTGCAACTAGACACAGAAATACGACAGGTATAGTATCATTATGCTTCTTCATATACAAGACCACCCTGACAAGTCATTTCACTCGAGGCAAGATCGTGTTGATGTCTAATTTACCTGTAGATCCAAAGAGCAAATACTGTACTTTTGAGCGCTTCAAGTCTCTTCGAACACAAACACCCCTTTTCCAGGCCTGAAGCCTCCCAACGTACCCTGGACGGCGCTCTTCAAAGTGTCGAGATCCGTCTTCCAGCCCCACCGGCATTCCTGCACTGGGATGTCCTTAAACTTGCCCTCTCTCGTCATGCGAAGCACATCATCAACAGTCTGCTTCTTTTGATCAGGATGTCGGTCGCTCCACTTGCTCACCCAAAAGCCATTAAACCTGATATCCTTGAAGATCAGCAGCGAAGCCGGCAGTGACAACGGCTGTTTGCTCATTGCGCCATAGGTGACCATTGTCGCGCCTGGACTCAAGAACTTGGCCAATGCCGTGGCATTCTTTCCTCCGACGCAGTTCAGGCCGACCTTAATCTGCTCGCGGCCACCGTGTGTCCATTCCTTGATTTGATCTTTGATCTCTCGCCCCATGAGTTCCTCCTCGGTGATGACTTTGGTCGCACCAATATCCAGCAGACCTTGACGAAGTTTCTGTTCTTCCTCCTTGTTCTCCCGGCCTCGAATGACATTGATACTCTTGATGCCCCATTCTCTCCCTAGTTGGATGGCTGCTCGACCAACGCCACTATTGGCTCCGTTCTGGATGAACCATTCGTCCCCACGGAACCCCCACTGGGCGAAATCGAGGAGCATACGATACGCCGTGCAAGGGTTGACGGACACGGTGCCGACTTGCAATGGCGTCAAGCCTTCTTTGTTGTCAATCTTCAACAACTGACTTTCATCAACTGCCATGTGTGTCCGCCATGTGCCCATCCCGGTACTCTTCATAATGACCCAGTCACCTCGCTTCAGGTTCTTGACTCCCGAGCCGGTGCTGATGACTTCTGCCACCCCTTCGTTACCACCTACTGCGGCTGGTTCCTTTGTCCCCAATGCAATAGTCATTTCCGGCTTCGCAGGATAGACACCTTGAATCTGGTTCACGTCGGCCGGGTTGATCGGCGCGACGAGCATGCGCAGCACTACGCTTGTTCCGGCCGCGGGAGATATCGAGTGGCCGTGCAAGGAGAGCACATCTTGCGGTTCGCCATATTTGGAATAGACGAGCGCCTTTGCCTGCGTGTAGCCATAACTGCTTATGGCCCTCCTGCTGCTGACGGCGGGCCTAGATAGTCTCTGCCTGTGCAAACATACGGGTCGGCTTTGAGCAAAGATCGTTCGCAAGCTTGTCCTGAGAGACGACTGCAAGCTGGAAGACGAGGCCATATTCTTTGAGCCAGTCGAGAGAGGCCGCCCTACTCAGTCTTCTACAATGTATGTACGTAGAATGGAGGAAATCCGCCCGCGATCCGAGACTTTGACTGACGACGAGAGCTACGATGTCATGGCTCGCGAGACCTGCCATATTAGGTACTCACTTGATAGCAGTAGCCCTGAGGCTCAGCCTTGTCACGGTACCCGCCAGCTGCAACCATCTCCCAGTCATCTCTCCATGCAGTATTAAGGAGTTCACGCAACACTCTGTTCTCATCAAGGGAATATGATGAGTTGTGTGCTCAACAGTAGTGGACCCAGATTTGCACCCGGTCACCCTCGCTTAGGTCAGTGGACCTAGGAGCAGTGTAAAATCGTGCGGTTTCGAGCTGATCTGGTTTCTGGTTTCTAATTTCTATACCTCAATAATTTGCTTTCTACAAATAGCGTGGTGATGACGATGGTTATTGATTCTCATCGTAAATAGCTGGTTAAAGATTAAGAGTTATTTACTTACCCCCCGGCTCCGGTTTGCCGGTGCGAAACCCCCAATTCTGTTCTACGTGTATGAGAGGATTCCCGTCGTGCGGGTACGTGAGGAGCGGTACACACGTTGGACAGAAGACAGAAACACTTCCAGATTCATGTGCATCATATTTAAAGACTACTCTTGAGCTTTTTCTTCATGAGTTCGTGAGGAGGAACTTCCCTTCCACAGTTCGAAGGCGGCAGGGACTGTGACACTAGCACCGGCTCATACAGTGACATCCATGGTGTCGTCGCCGTCGTCTCGGACTACTTCTTCTTGCTCCACATCCCTCATCTCCGCATTGCCCTGGGCACCGGCAGCGCGATTCCTGCCTGCGAGCAACTCGCGCCTAACTTCGGGACCAATGTCCTTGTGACCCCTGACGAGTAACAAATCCAGCAAAGCCTCGCGCTGGTCCTCTGTAATTTCATTGCGGTAGGTCTGTGCGAAGATCAGGAGACTCTGATGCCACAAGACGGGCAGCTTGGCTTCTTTGCTTCCCAGACCAACATCCTGCTCGTTGGGATCCTTGGATGCACGGAATCGTAGGAAGTGAAACACCAACGCGTCAACCACTTTGTAAGGCAGGGCGTATTTCTTGCCCAGCAAGACGCGGATGAACATGTTGGCAGCACCCGCAGCTTCGCTGTTGATGTTGGATGTCTGCTCGGCCGAAATCTCGCACAGTCGCAACAGGGCCGCGGCAGAATGCAAGACTGGAATCTTGATCTTGGCCAACACCGACGAAACAATGTGCGCTTCGCGCAGTGTGCAGCCGGACTCGACCAGCGGAAACAAAAGCCCCTTGAAGAAGGCGGACGGCCGGTAGAAGGAGGCTTTTAGAGCGTTGTAAAGATGCACGTTGAGCTTTTTCGTTTCCTGGATGTCTTCTCGGACGCGCTCGAGAAGCACGGTCTCGCAGAAGTGCTGCCCTGATGCAGCCGGGGCTGAGATGAAGATCTTGGTGGCCCGATACACGGCATGCGGCGTCCAGCTCTCAGGACGGGTAATTGCCAATAATTCGGGCCACTGGGGTAAAGTTGGGAGGATTTTAAACGGTTTCGGCAACGGTCCTGACTTGTACCGAGACAAGAGTAGGCCGACTTTGGTGAAAGTGTCCACGACTTTCATGGGTATCTCGACCGCATCCTCTGGTGCTCCTGATCCCATGAAGGCAGGTTGTTGCTGACCGCCTTGATTGCGAGCAGCCTCCTGCGCTTCTTTCTCGGCAATTCGTTGCAGGATCAGCTCCGTGAGGTTAGTGGTCTGTCCAAATCCACCAGCACCTGCACCCTCCTCCTCATCGACATTTGACGTAGGTCCTCGGTCTCGTCGCTGGTCTTCCGTCGTCAAATTCGCTATTGATGGTGCGAAATCACCAAACTCCTCTCCATCTTGGAGAAATTTCTTGTAAACTGCCATGTCTTCCGGGTCCACGTCCTCCTCGGCGACAGCCTCCTCCTCCTCTTCTGGATACCACTCCTCATCATCATACTGGTTCTTCGCACCAGTTTCGTCGTCTTGGTCGTCTGCGGCAAACCTCGAATCAAAACCGAATGCGGCACTGGCGGATGACACTCCTCCAGCGGCGGCAGCTTTTCGATCCTCGGCTTCTTCGTCTGCAAGATCTTGTGCGATGGATAGAATCTTCTGCGAAGATCGAGCGTCAATGTATCCATCGCCATGCCGATCGTCGTCTCCTCGAGACTTCCTCTTGCCAGTGATTGATTTCGTGCGTAGGCGACCCCCAGAGGTTGCGATATCGTCTTCGAGAGGGTTATGCCGCCGGGCGGCTGCTGTCTTGGACATGGTGTGGATGGTATAGCAGGGAGAAGACGGCAGTTATCTTGAGCCCAGTGGAAATCGTACTGGTATATGATGGCTCGTCGTCGACGACGATAACAATGTACGGCGGCAGTGGATGGACAAAAAAATTATTGGAGTTGCGGTGGTGGCTCGGAATTTTACGCGGGACTCGCTTAGTCATCTACGACTCGTCTAGCCTATCTCGTCTCCCCATCAATTGGTTTCAACCAGGTCAACTCAATCCAGGAACGAAGACCTCCTATTAATTGTACAATGTTGTACAGTCTCCTTCTGAATTGTTAGCTCCGGGAGTTCGGAAGGCACAGGCGACCGCATAATGAGCGTTTCAACTCTGTTTTCACTGGCGGAGGCAACGGCATCATGATGTTCAACTGATCATTTGGCCAGGGAAGGAGTCGTGTAGAAATGCCAATTGATATTGGTCCGGAAAGAGTTGCAAGCTGCATGCACGACTTGCTGACAACCTCCGTGGGCGTGGAGCTATCGAGAAGCCTTTCAATTAGTCGACTCTGACGGAAGTTGACACACTTGGCCACATAGTCCCGGATTGAACTAGCAACGGTCCATATCAAAATAGATGGTCAATAACCGGCAAAAGGTGACCAGTTGAAGCCATGCGAGTTGTGTGGCGGTCAGTTGTAGAAAATAAAAAACACGGAAAGTCCCCTTCAGGTTATGTGTAGATGAAGGCTGAATTAATGACAGGGCAGTAGCTGCACGTAGTCAAATGCCACTGCAGACAGCCTGAGGGGCCATAGTGAGGGCATGTTGCGAAGCCTAGGCAGACGGTGGTAAAGTGATATGCAGCAGCAGGCATTCAGGCTGTGCTTAAGCGAGAGGCGTGTGTGTGAGGGTGGTACAAAGCACAAAGCTCGCAGCTGGATTGTGAACCCGCCTGACAGGAATCTGGGAGGTGTGCGAGATGAGTGGGCAAGCCGATCCCCGGTGAGGCTGTCGATGATTATATGGCCAAGGTGATGACCTCGAGACTCGGACGCATCCAGCAGTCATACAATGTAGATCGACATGCAGCTGGGATGCCGGTCAGGCAGCCGCACGGCGGTAGGGTAGGACAGCATGTGATGTTAACAGAGGCGGGAAAGATAGTTGCGCGCGTTGTCCGCTGTCAGTTGATGTCAATCAAAGGAATGACAGGCCCGGGGCTGACCACAGCCAGACGTTTGGGTCAACCATGACCACGGGTCTGATGCTTGCTAATGCTGACGCTGATGCACAGCCAATCTGCATTCAAAGGCGTGTTGGTGCTCAAATTGAAGTTCGGGATGCAGTGGGTGCAGGGACTGTAGAGAAAACATGAAGGATCGCTCTCTTACCTTGGACTCACAGAAATGGTCATGAAATACCAGGTGAGCAAAGAGGGAATGCGATCTCGATGGCCGCCTCAATTATAGTTCTCAACATGGTGGTACTGTAGGTGTAGAAGCAGGGGTAGCAGGGTAGGGGAGAGTTGGTTTACATTAACCCGTCTGTCTCGAGACCCGCCAAGGTGCTGGGAATCATAGACTTTCAGGTACGTTGTAAGTCCAGTGTAGATACAAAAGTATATACAACGTTCTACTTCTGCCCATGGTGACCTTGAGACAGCTACTACTACAACATCATGATTTGTAGTACCTGGTAGGTACTGCGTTATTCCTACTACTGCGTTGGGCACAGCTCACTGGCAGGCGTCTGAGTCCCTGGTCCTTGCTAGGTGCCTGTAGGGAGTGTTTTGTAGGGACCTCTTGAGACCTACTATTGGTCCTACTGGTCCTAATCCAGCCTCCTGTAACTTCCGCCGCCTCCCTTTGCTCTAGAGAATCTGCAATCCATGATTGCAATATCATCAATGCATGCAAGCTGCAAAGCGCCTTGCTGCAATTTTGACTTGCCGCGCATCCGAGTTCACTGCTTCAAGTTGTTCTTAATCTTATCATGTTGTTTTAGCTTGCTGCTGGACACTGTTGCCGTCATACTGTAGCTACTGGACCAACAACCGGCGACAATATACCCTGCAGTGTACTCCACGTTACCAGGTGTTTTATAGAGCATCCCTTGCCTGGATCATGATTTTCGAGCGCCTCTTCGGTATAATAAGGTCCGACACAGATCAGCAGACGCTTCATGGGTGGTTGTAGTGTAAAACAATCCTGTTTCCCTCCAGTTCAAGCTGCCCAGCTTATTATTATCGTCCACCACTGGCCGTGGCACCTCTTCAAGTTCGGTATAGACGGAGCAACTTTGAACCAAGCGACTCCTCTCGGTCGCCAAACCACCATCTTCCCAGTCCACACGACCCCTGCAGTGCGTTCCCCCCCTTCTCAATCCGGCGTTCCCGTCCTCCTCCGGCCGAACTGCTCTGCCACGACCCCCCCGATTCGCAAGCCACACCTAACTCCTACTACGACTAGCACTCCTAGTATCGTCTTGTAATTCCCCTCGGGCGTTGACTGATTCTCTCTTGAAGCCTCGACCGCATGCTACTACCCCAGGTACCTCCTCCCTGTACTCGATAGAACCGTCGCACCCCCCTGCCAACGACACTATTGTATCGCAGCGCCGTCAACTTGAAGACATTATTCAATCAATCCCTGCGCGCCAGCATCCTCGTCCTCGTTCGTCCCGCGAAACGAAACGCCTCTGCCTCCTTTGCGCCATCTCCTCCTTTTTCTTCTGGAACCCGCGCCCAGGCTAGAGCCGCGCCCTCCTCCAGACACCACCACCACCATCACCACCATCTTCGATAGCTCGCCCACACCTCCCTCTGGCGCTCTCCCTCCACAGTTGGCATCAGCACTTTCCGATCCGAGATCGACGAGACCACGTCAAGAGTGGTGTATCGGCCGGGCAACACTTCGTGGTGCATCCTCTCCGTCCCCGTCCCGATCGCACCTGCGCCCGAGCATTGGCAGTGGCAGTCTGGCTGTCAGCCCAGCAAGCCAACAAGCCAGCTTTGAGCGCAAAGCCAGTGGGAGTCGACTTGTAATACCCTGCAATCCTCTCCCAATGTGTGGGCGCCTCCACTTACGGTGCGAAAGATTGATGCCGTGCATGCCTTGGAAATAGAAAAAAACAGGACCTCCGTCCAAGCACGCCAGAGTCCACGAACGAAAATAGTTCTTAAAGGAGCATCATGAGTACCCTGCTTCAGTCGACCCTGAGAAATCCTTTTAGCTCTACCGTCGAACATTCACCCAGACCCAGATCAATGGCCATACTACCCCAAAACAACGAAACCTCGCCCAAGTCGACCGAAGAAGATTCGGTGCAGACCACCTCTCCCGGTCCTCCAAGCATGCGCCCTCCTGCTCAAGGGAGTCCAGAAACCGACCAGCCACAAAGCAGCAACGCAAATGGCACCAAGGACCCCAGTCCCGCGAACAACACCGGCACCGGAGCGGCCGGTGCGTCTCAGGCGCCGAACAAAGTCGTGCAAACGGCTTTCATTCACAAGCTATACAGCATGTTGGAAGACCGCAGCATTTCGCATTTGATCTCATGGTCCAGTAGTAATGAGAGCTTCGTCATGTCGCCCTCGAACGAGTTCTCCAAAGTGCTGGCTCATTACTTCAAGCACACCAACATTTCATCCTTTGTTCGACAACTCAACATGTACGGATTCCACAAGGTCAGCGACGTTTTCCACACCGGGTCCTCCGAGTCCGCTCTCTGGGAATTCAAACATGGGAACGGGAACTTTAGGAAAGGTGACCTGATGGGCTTGAGAGAGATCAAAAGGCGGGCGTCACGGCACACATTGATACACCGAGATTCTTTCTCTAACGCGAAGCCCAATGCCTCCCAGCCAGGAACGCCTGCCGAGGTGATGCCAGACACCGACCAGCGTTTGGCGGCTCTCGAACAGGCTTTCTACGACGCCCATACCCGGTTGCAAAGAACAGAAGAAAACTACGCCTCGATGAGCGCCAGATGTCAGGCTCTGACCGAGAGTCTTGTCCGCTGTCATCAATGGATACATGGCGTTACCGGAGCAATCCAAAACATGTCTTCGCCGGAATCTGCCTTGTACGCAGACATTACAAACATGCAGAAAGAGATCGCGCGACAGCTCGAGTTTGTCCGTGGTTTGGAGACGCCGCAGGACCCCAGACAGCCATACTATTCCAGCGGCGGTGCTGCTCTAGAACCCCCGGTTTCGCCACGGGGATACAACTACCCAGACAGCCGACGGTCATCCATTCAGGTAGAACCCCAACACGTGGGATTGCGACCCCCGGTGCCGGCGATTCCGCCACACTTCTCTTCGTCGCCTCGGCGGTTTGGCTCGATGAGTGGTCCTCAAGCATCGCCGGGCTTCAGTCGCCCGGCGCTTCCACAGCAGCACCCTCCACAGAATGCACATCCTCTGTCAGCAGTTGCTACTCCACCACCTCTGAGTTTGACTCGTCGGCATACGTCTGCCGATATCCGGGAGCATGGGTGGCCACCAACCAACACTAACGGGTCCCCGCACGCATCAGGGCAGTCGTCTGCGCACTGGCAACCTTCGTCGCCGCAACAGCCACCGCACTCTGGCGGCGGCGACCAAGCGATCCGGGACCAATTGGCTCAGTACGAAATCAACGGCCCGAGGCGACAGACACTCAGCGCCAGCCAGCCGACACCGCCCCTCAGTGCTGACGCTCCTCCGGCAGGGTTAGGGGTTGACAATGTCTCCTGGACGTTGGGCGGGAGTAAATTCCCTCGGCCGAACTTCGAGTTGCATTCTGCGCCGGCCACTCGAAGGGGAAGCATGGCGACGCTGCATTCACTGCTGAATCCCGCCGAGACGGCCGAGGAGGAGAATGAAGATGACGGTCCCAACGAGGATCGCAAACGGAAACGACTGCAATGAAGAAAGTTGCGCCCAGTATAAACTTGTTACATTTTTGACAGAACAGAAAGCCACAGTGGATTACCTTAGATAATGAGACCAGAAAAGCAGGCGTTTGAACATATTTCTTTAGCATGACCCTCGAAAGCACTGCTTGCGGGAGATGGGTGTCGAAACCTCCTAATTGACCAATTTCAGGCGTTTGAAGAGTAATATAGGCTCATGGGAGGCCCTGCGCTGGTCAGGGCCTCTGATCCATTTTTGAAAGACCACGAGATGCGTATGTACATCAGAGCCTCAGGCGTACTGCTACAGCAGCCTACCATAGAGACACTTTGTACTTGTGTTCAGAGCGCGGCGCGGCGTCTTTGCTCTGGGCTGTTCGCCTACCTGATCCTACACAGAATCTACTGTAGACCGAGATGGCGGCCGGAATGCTGAAGATCTTGTTTCTCCACGCTGCAGCTGGCTTACAGCGTCCTCCATAATCGTAGCTTGTGTGCCTACGTTTCTTTCCCCTTAGGCGTTGACTATTGAGAAAAAGTCAACTCTGTGCTTTCCAGATTAAGGCTTCGTTCAGGAGGACTGGTTCTGGTTCTGGTTCTGGTTCTGATTCTGATTCGGTTTCATCTTTTTATTCTTCTTGGCTGCCCTCGACGCAAGCACCTCGTCCAGGTAACTCGAGCCTCGCTTTTTGCTGGTCGATTTAGTAGTGGTGGTGGTGGTGCTTATTGTAGATTGCGGCGTTGCCGTTCCCTGGTTCGTATCATCATGGGATGCGGTAATGGACTCATCGACCTCGACGGCAGCAGACACAGTAATGTTGTTCTGGTTGACCTCAGTGCTTTTCAGCTCATTATTGCCCTTGAGTCCGGGTTTGTTTTTGTTGTTTTTGCTTCTGCCTTTGCCTAGCGCAGAGCGGCCCTCTTCTTCATCTTCATCTTCGCTATTATTGGCGCGCCGCTGCTTTGCCTGTGGCAGCTGTGGTCGGGGTTTGACGCTTGCATGCGACGAGTTGGTGCTATTATATCGGCTTCCGCCCCGGAGCAATTGTTTGCGCAGGAACTCTGTTGTCTGATCGTATCCGGCTCGAGAAGATGTGGCACTGCCACCGTTGTTTTGGGGCTCTGAAGGTGGTTCGAAACCTACTCCGCCGCTGAATATGGCACAAGATCGTAAGCAATGGTTCACACTTTTGTTTTTCTGCTTATATCGTAAATGTGGGCAAATGTTCCAAGAGCGGATGGGAGAATGGGTATTAAAAGATGTAGTACTGGCTGTATAAACCTTAACCTACGTTTCAGAGTACTGCGCCGCATTATTTGATCCAAACAGTTCTCGCTCCCTTTTCAGATCGGCTTCATCCTCGTCGTTGTCCCCTTCTTTTGGGTCTGCTGCTGCTGTCGCGCCCTGTAACCATGATTTGGCGAGCCTTGATGCTTCGGCGTGAAATAGGAGGGCTCCGTTGGTCGCTATGTCGGCCTCGGGAACGGCGCTTGGGTTACCACTGGCAGTGCTCGGTTTCGTTGCCGTCGTAGCCTTGGACGGTGGGTTACCGGGTCGTGGTGACATCGCTGACCTTGGGCTGGCGGCGCCGGCGATTTACATTTTCCCCATCCTCGTGGAGAGCGTGCTAGCACGGGTCAGTATTCTCAGAACCTCAGTAATACCTAAGGTAGTTCACTTCGTGTAGTCGGACGCTGTGGGAGTGCATTTGCGGGCCCACCTCCAGCGCAAAGTCGCAAAAAGTGCCAGTGCTGGTGATGCAATAAAATTGCTACAATGTTAGAGCGACAAAGCGCTCGCAGGGAAGGTTTCCCGCTTGAGCACCAGAAGTACAACCATGCGGTATTGCTACTCCCATTCGATGAAAGCTCACTTCGCAGGGGGACACAGGTAAAGAGGGACTTCGTCGACTACATTCACGGCAGTGTATATTGGACAATGCTCGCAGAAGCTGTTTTGTGAATCCTCTATATCGGCGGTGCAACTCCACGATAACACCACAGAAAAGTTGAGCACTTGGATCGGACCAGAGATCGTCGCGGCGAATTGTCTGGTTGCTTGCGTCCCGGCTACTGGTGTCTGTTACATTATCAGATATTTCAGATACCATATGTACGCGTCCTCCACCGAGGTTATCCACTTCCAACCTGAATAGTCCGAATCAAAGGCCACGTGGGTGAAGCATGTCTTCGACCGCCAATACCTATATGGCATGAGTTTTGGCGTATAGAGGCAGCGGGCTAGGTGTGAAATGGTGCGATCTATGGTCAAGGTACTAGTAATGAGCGGGTCGGCTGCCCTGGTCGAGCCTTGCCGCTAACCATAATGCATATATCCCGGTGAGCACGCCCGCCAAAAATGGTATACGATTGGTGTATACCTCGCCTACAGTACTGAAAACCGCCGGAGAAGACTTCGGCACAGAACCGTGTTATCGATACCTAGGTAGACAACTAGACGATATGGATACCACTGCGTCGGCGGACCAGCTCTCAAGCTGCAACGCCGGTGGAAATCGTGCAGAAAAAAGTGTATATATATAAGTTGACACACTCTGGCTTCGGGTTCTCGTGCTATTCTTCCAGGACGGAAAGACGATTGACATCTACCGGAGGGAAAATATAAGGTAACCCAGCTTACCCAACAGCAAAATGGTTCGATTGGCAGCCACTCTCGTGCTCGGCAGTGCAGTAACTGCGCTCGCAACAGCACCTTCATATATCCAGTATTCCACAGTGACGGGCTATTTCCTGCAGGACGACAATGCCACCAACGCAACCACTTTTGACTATGTAAGTGTTGCTATAGAATGATATATACGAGAGGCACCGAGCTTATATTCATGCTGCAGACCACCACCAACTTCGGTCTCATCAACCAGAGCTACCCGACCGATTCAAAAGATTCAGCTTCCCTGACTCAATGGCAAAGATTTGCCCAGCTCATCGACTCGCTGAATGCCAAAGCGGCCAAAAACGTCGATTACAAGTTGCTTTTCATGGGCCGCCATGGAGAAGGATGGCACAACGCCGCCGAAACCTTTTACGGCACGCCCGCCTGGAACTGCTACTGGTCTCTCCTCGAGGGCAACGGAACAGCCACTTGGTCAGACGCACAGCTGACCAAAAACGGCATTGCCCAGGCCCTGAAGGCCAACTCGTTCTGGCGCTCTCGCATCGAGCAGGAAAGGATCCCCGTGCCCCAGAGCTACTACGTCTCGCCGTTGACTCGCTGCCTGGTCACCGCCAATCTCACCTTCTCAAACCTCTCACTGCCGGCCAAGTATCCTTTCAACCCGACAATCAAGGAAAAGCTGCGAGAAGGCATCTCGGAGCACACGTGTGACAGACGCAGCAACAAGACTCACATCCACGATTCGTTCCCCGATTACAAGTTCGAGTGTGGCTTTGCCGAGAACGACACTCTCTGGACCGGCGTGACGTCCGAGACTTCGTCGGCGCAGGATCTGCGCTCGAAGCAGTTACTCGATGATATCTTTGCCTCGGACCGCTCGACATATATCAGCTTCACCTCGCACTCGGGCGAAATAGCTTCAATCCTGCGCGTGCTCGGCCATCGAACTTTCCCACTCAGCACCGGTGCCGTCATTCCCGTCCTGGTCAAGGCCGAGATCATCGAGCCAAGTGCTGCAACCACCACCATCTCTGCTGCGTCGTGGACTCCTAGCCCGCATTGCACGGTGCCCCCTGTGTCCAGTATCAGTGGTGGTGCGTGTGTCTGCCCGAAAAGTGCGGCGCCCGTGGTGACCGCTTTATCGCCGACGCCGGCATGAGGGGCTGGTCAGCAGCCTGCAACAATATATTGATAGAAGGCTCAGTAAGCAGCCATGATAATATTCATATTGACACCCGTTCAGGGCGTCTCAGGCAAATGTGATTTCATGCAGATGAGCTGATCATAACAATGTCGTGGACTGAAGACGTAGCTCAAGCCGTAGATTAGTTGCTCAGACAGTAAATTACCTTGTAGGTACATGTCTAAGGTGACTCGCCGCAGCAAGGACTATGTCGAAGAGCTGAATCTCAACACCATTCTATCCAAGTTCAACAGGAGGTGAGTTCTAGGTACTGTACCGTGCATACAACGTAGCAGCAGCTCAGAGCCTCGGTCGGCTAAGCTTCCCTGATGGTGATGCAGGTACACTAGTAGAAGCTGTGCTACGGCGACGCGGTTAATGACACAAGCTGCGCTGACCAGGACAGCCGGTATCTTTTGTCTGGTCGACTTCCAGCTTTCTACTGTCCACGGTCAATACTGTCTCAACTCGTGGACAAGATGTTCAAACTGGGACGCTCCAGCTTGGGCCCGGCCTTTAAGGCCTTCAGGGTAGGATAAACGACCCGGTATACATTCAAAACCGAATCTGACCTCTCTTTACAGGCGACCCCAATGCGGAGCTCATTGCAACAAAAGAGGAACCTGAGCATTCACGAATACCTCTCTGCGAGGCTTCTGAAATCTGTACGTCAACTTTGCAGTATCACTTTTGGTTAGAAGCAGATGTCTGACCTGGTAGCAGTACGGTATCGGTGTTCCAGATGGCGAGGTTGCCAAAACACCAGAGGAGGCCGAGGCTGTTGCGAAGAAGATTGGTAAATACAAGACGAACGAGAGCTCGGGACAAGACTGACGGTTGTTTAGCCGGAGATGATATGGTCATCAAGGCACAAGTCCTCGCCGGCGGTCGAGGCAAGGGTACATTCGACAACGGGCTGAAAGGCGGTGTTAGAGTCATCTACTCGTATGTCCAGCGGCCCTCTGATGTTTCAGAAATAGGCAACTTACTTCTATCTAGGCCGACGGAAGCGAAGATGTTTGCGGAACAGATGATCGGCCACAAACTCTTTACCAAACAGACTGGCAGTCGCGGTCGCATCTGCAATTCGGTATACATCTGTGAGCGCAAATTCGCCCGCCGCGAGTTCTACTTGGCCGTCCTGATGGATCGATCCACACAGTCGCCCGTCATCGTCGCGTCGTCGCAGGGCGGTATGGACATTGAGACTGTCGCCAAGGAGACCCCGGACGCCATCATTACCACGCCCATTGACATCAACGTTGGGGTCACTGATGAGATTGGAAGAAACATCGCGACCGAATTGGGCTTCAGTGAACAGTGCATTGAAGACGCCAAAAACACCATCCAGAAACTGTACCAGGTCTTTATGGAGAAGGATGCCACACAGATTGAGATCAACCCTCTCAGCGAGACCAGTGACCATCAAGTGTTGTGCATGGACGCCAAACTCAATTTCGACGACAACGCCGAGTTCCGGCAAAAGGAGATCTTCAGCTGGCGAGATACCTCTCAAGAGGATCCTGATGAGGTCAAGGCTGCAGAGTATGCTCCCCCGTACAGTTTTGTTGTCGTTCTACTTACAGACATGCTAGGTTCGGTCTTAACTTTATCAAATTGGACGGTGATATTGGCTGCCTGGTCAATGGCGCTGGTCTCGCCATGGCCACGATGGACATTATCAAACTGAATGGCGGCTCGCCGGCCAATTTCTTGGACGTGGGCGGTGGTGCCACCCCCGAAGCCATTCGGTCCGCGTTCGAACTCATCACCAACGACCCTAAGGTCACGGCGATCTTTGTTAACATCTTCGGTGGCATTGTCAGATGTGACGCCATTGCTTCAGGGTTGATTCACGTGGTCCAACAGATGAATCTCAGATTACCCATTGTGTGCCGGTTGCAAGGCACCAACATGGAGAAGGCCGCCGAGCTGGTGAGTTTCTTCCGTTTCTGGTGAATTGAGCACATACTAACAGCCGACTTTTTACCAACAGGTGAACAACTCTGGGCTCAAGATTTTCTCCATCACCGATCTCCAAGACGCGGCCGCCAAGGCCGTGGATTTCTCCAAAATCGTCAAGATGGCCCGGGATATCGATGTCGGCGTGGAATTCACTCTTGGTATCTGAGCTCCGTGCTGGCTTTCGCGTCGAAATGGGTTGATAGTCCACAGGGTAATCGCCCGGTCCTTTGACTGTGCTCGCCCACTACGGCCGAGGAGAAGAGGTTGCAGCAGATTGCGACATTTTTGGACCGGCATTTTTTCAAGACTTTTGAGTTCGACCCTTTGATGAATTAGTATCATCCCATGGAAAGCCCCCGATGGAGTTTCGATTTGTTGTTTACCGTTCTGTCCCGAAAATGTTAACTATTACAACAACCCGCCTTTGGCCCACAAGAGACCGGTTTCCGTTCCTTTGATATCGTAGCTTTGTACTGCCTGCCTTAATGTAGCGATAGGGCGGACTGCCAGTGGACTTGAATAGATTCTAGAACCTTTCACACCCAGGCAGTGGCAGTGAAGGGTCGTGCGGAGGCATACACTGCCGATAATTTTCGTGTTTCCTAGGCGCGACTGTCCTTAGAATACTGCGGTGTTCTACTACCACGCCTCCCACGAGGAAGTAGGATATCTGCATTTGGGCGATGCAGGGTAAGTTGATGACTACCCTGCAGCTCATGCTTTATAACACGTCCATGCAGTGCCCTACTTCTTCCCTCGGACTCGGGATCGCCCAGCATCACATTGGGAGTTACCGTGCAATTCTACCATATTTCGGAACCTATTCACTACCATGGCTTCACTTGCAGGAGGCACCTGCTCCCTAGGTACTCATCAGAGAGTATTCACTACTCCGCCAACCAGTGCAGTGCAGGTGCCATAGCCGCAGAACGCGAGAATTATACCACGCATTGATGTGCCAGGTAATGAAGGAGAGCAGTGACTGTACACCACCAACCATTCGGGCAGTCTGAGGCAGCGAGCTGCTGTGCTGCAGTGAGCTCGCTGCCGGTAAGCGGGTAGGTCATCTCCCAGAGAAGCATAGCTGCAGTGCAGAACGCAATGATTATATTAGGTAGTCGTAGGGCCATATGGCAGTTACTGTACACCTTCAAATAATTTCAGTGAGGCGGCGAGGTGCTGTGATGCAGTGAGCGGGTAGATTATCTCCCAGAGGAAACATGTTTGATTGCTTTTACACCAATGCACCGCACCCTCCAACATTTTTGTACCATTGCGGCTCTTAAGCTGCAGTGCAGGTACCATAGCTACCTGGTACAGAACGAAATGGATATACAAGGTCCCTAGGTAGTCAAGTACAATTTCTAAAGGCAATGAGTTGCTGCACAATGTGAGGCGGTGAGCTCGCTACCAGTGAGCGAGTAGAGTATCTTACAGAGGAAAACTTTTCAGTTCCTTTTCCACAACTGCACTACACTGGCACTGTCTAAAATTTTTGTAATCGCTGCGTTGCGGCTCGAGCTGCAGTATGTGCCAAATAGACCGAATAGTGGTTGACACGAATATCTGCGCGCTGCTTGCAAAATGCGCACGGCACTCGTTGCAAAAATGCGTATTCACTCAGAAACGATTCACTCACAAAATTGTTTGCGAGGAGTGCACAATCACTGCAGTCGTGCCAACAACTCGGTGCCTTGCCAAAAAAAAAATTGGCAGCAAAATCAATGTTGAAAGAAAAAAGAAATCTCAATTTCAAATTCTGGACGTTCGGGGATTTGAACCCCGGACCTTTCACAAACACACGCTTAATGCGAAGCGAAAATCATACCCCTAGACCAAACGCCCGTGCCGGAGCCGTTAAGCTCGAAAGATAATTTTCGATTCTTTATTAGTTGTTCTCTGACTTTTCTTGTGTAGACCACTTTTTTGTTGTATACCTTGCTAATATAGGTATAGTGTAACAACACTAGTCCTAATACGAGTACACTAGTACTAGGTAGGACTAGTAGTAGTAGTACTTAAGGTACTATTGGATATTGATATTGTATGTTCATGTTGTAAATTGATGTTGTATGCTGAAGTATGTTGTATGTTGATGTTGTATGTTGATGTTGTATGTTGTACTTGGTTTGATATTATATGTTGAAGTATGAAGTATAACTAAGTACTAGTTATGTGATAAGTATGGATAGGTGTATAGGGTGATAGGTGATGATAGTTTGGAAAGTACAAGGGAGGGGAAAAAAAAAAGAAAGAAAGTTGGGAGAGGAAGAAGGGTTTATATACCTTAGGGCTGCCGTGAAGCAGTGTTACTGCTAGGTGCCAAGGCCTCGAGGCCGTGAGGCAGTAGAGGTAGAAGTAGTAGAGTGCCGTGAAGCAGTACTGTAGTAGTAGTGTAGTGAAGCTCAGTTAAGTGAATTTTGGAGTGTAGTATAGTGAAGTTTACTTGGAAATGCCACTACTATAGCGCGGTGAGGCTTACTGCCACGCCAGTTCTGGATGGTAATGAAGGCTTAACACTGGCAGTGCGCGTATTAGGAAGTAGAAGTACTACTATGTAGTGAAGTTGGATATGCTGTACGAGTAGCGCGTGAAGCTGACTTGGAAATACTGTAGTGCAGTGAAGTTCACTAAGGCTCACTGCCACGCCGATATTACCTAGGTACCTAGGTATGTAATGATTGAGAAAATGCCACAGGTTGGGGAGGTACATAGGCTTTGCGCCGATAAGGGACTGGGTGGTCTTTGGGTGGGGTTTAAGTGGAGGATCTATGTGCTTTCACCTAGAAGACTGCCTGGGAATTGCTTATGCATATTGATATTTAGGCGCTGAGCTTAGGCTTCTCTCTGCACCTGCCCGCGCCTGAAAAGTGATCTTCAAGCCTGAGAAACCCATCTCCTTAAGTAAGTTGTACAGTATGCGGTTCGTCCCGCCACCCCTACTCCCCACCCCGGGTACTAACTATATGGACTTCTTCTCCAAATTCAGCCGCATGAACGAAGGCTTGAAAGCCTTCAATAATGATAATGATGAGAAACCACTTCGAGGTGGTGCAGAGTCTTCTGTGACTCATATTCGACACGCAACTTCTTGGATGCATGGATAAGGAGGTCATTGTGTCAAGTCCTGACACCTCCGTGGGCAACTTCTTGGATGCATGGATAAGGAGGTCATTGTGTCAACTCCTGACACCTCTGTGGGTGTTTTGATAGGTTCTTGTGGGACTCTCGACTGGCCAGTCGGTATAAAACTTCTGGCTTGTGAGGAGGTTCTTGTGCAGGTCCCATTGTGATGGCCATTGAGGAGCTCATCTTATGTAGTGATCAAGTTGAGGACGCACTCGAGTTCCGGGTGGACAGTGATTGCCTTTGAGGTGGTGGCGGTGAGAAGATTGCAATGAGGTATGAGTGATGAAGGGTCGGCAATAGAATTTTTGAAGGTGACAGGCCAACGAGATTGACTTTTTGAAGGGCAACAAGGGCCAGTGCCGTTGAAGATTGAGCGAGAGGGAATTGACATGAACAGGTGACAACAGCAAAAGCAGTGGTAGTGGCAGCAGTGGTAGTGGCAGCAGTGGTAGTGGCAGCAGTGGTAGTGGCAGCAGTGGTAGTGGCAGCAGTGGTAGTGGCAGCAGTGGTGGTGGCAACAGTGGTAGTGGCAACAGAAATGAGGGTGACATAGCTCCCATACCACCGATGCTTCAAGGTGATACAGCAACAGCAACAGCAACAGCAACAGCAAAGGCGAAGGTTGAACAGGTGACGACATTGAGCCGTGGTCTGAGACCCTATAGCACAAGAGGTGTTGTGAATAAAGTTCGAGGCCATGCACAAGTGCTTGGAGGCTTCGGGCAACGTCGAGGTGGTTGTTGTTTCTCTCTGATTGACATGATGAGGAATTTAGACACCATGACAACGATGAGGTCCTTGGTGTTTCTCTCTGACTTAGTGACTTGACTTGAAGAGCCCTGGCAGCGACAAGGTGCTCACTGTTCTCTCATTGACTGGTTGACTTGGAAAACTCCTGGCAACGACATGGTGCTCGCTGTTCTCTCATTGACTGCTTGATTTGAAGAGTCCTGGCAGCGACAAGGTGCTCGCTGTACTCTCATTGACTGCTTGATTTGAAGAGTCCTGGCAGCGACATGGTGCTCGCTATTCTCTCATTGACTGGTTGACTTGGAAAACTCCTGGCAACGACATGGTGCTCGCTGTAGTCTGCTTGGCTTTGTGATAAGATAATAACGATGTTGGCCAAAGAGATAACGGCGAGAAGAAGTCTTAGGAATTGTAGGTGTCGAGCGAGAGAGAGAGAGAGAGAGAGTGTGTGTGTGTGTGTCTTAGGTGCCATAGGTGTCGAAGAGAAGACAGGAGAGAGCGAGATTAGAACCTTAGATGTCGTAGGTGCCAGAAAGAAGAGAGTCTTAGGAGCATAGGTGTTGGAGAGAGAGAGAGAGAGAGAGAGAAGAGAATTCCTAGGAGAGTCGGAGAGAAGAGAGAGAGAGAAGCCATAGGAGATTGAGAGAGCCGGAAGAGAGAAAAGTCCTAGGTGTTTAGGAGTCGGAAAGAAGAAAGGAGTCGAGAGAGAAGAGGAGAAATGGAGATAACCTGGCCTGAGACTGACAATGTGCTGCAAGTGCCCTTATGTAAATGAGCCCGTAATCTTCGATTGGAAACCCGCCGGACTGGATACCAGCTGTCGGTTCAATCTATACGGTGCAATCATCAACTGCCTCGCTGTTGGATTCCCCCCGAAGGGGTTACCAGCAGTCCGAGCGTCTATGCAACTTGCCCACATTGTGAGTCAGTCTCAATCCTCCTGGCAACGTCCTTGTCCGTTGCGAGGCAGGAGGGCGGCCTCTCCTTACAAACACTGGTCGGTCCAACGGTACGACCCGCGTCTGTAAGGAAAGCCGTCTGGCCAAATTATCTCCTTGATGGTGGAGAAGGGGGACGCCGCAGGAGAGGGAGGCGGTGGTGGCGACGGAGAGGGAGAAGGGGAGGGAGAGTCTCCGGCCTCTTCCCGGAGGACCTCCCGCATTGCTACGCAGAGGTCCTCCCAGGTGAGCTCCGGAGACTCGCACCTCCGGCACCCCTCCCCCGTCCACCACGCTCTGGCGTGGCCGCCAAACCACCGCCCGAACTTGCCGAGCCCTCTCCTGAGCTTGGAGAGAGTAACCCCCATCTTTGCGGATGAGGAGAGAGGTTGTTGGTGTTGGTGTTGTTGTGCTTGTGTTTGTAGTTGCTGTTGCTGTTGCTGTCTGCCCTTGTCAGTACTTCAATAGGACATGAAGGGTGTCATTGGCATGAACATACCACAAGTGTTGCGATGGAAGATGAAGAGGAAGAGATTTCGAAAGAAAGGAGGAATCCAGCAGTATTTATGTGCATGAGAATCTCAGTTGGCCAGATATACCAGATCAGATTTTTCCTCGCCTTTCCAATCATGTTTCTCGTATGAACTGGAGGCTGGGCTGTGTTAATGGAAAACTTTGATATGAAGATCGTCGAGCTGTATATTGGTCCGTGATGAAGGCCTGAGGGAAATGGAAAAGTTTGATATGAAGATCGTCGAGCTGTATATTGGTTCGTGATGAAGGCCTGAGGGAAGCCAACCAGACGTCGATCATTTTGCGGTGGCCACTGGGCCTCATATTCAAAGTCAAACTCACTGAAGACATCACGAGGAGTATCAAGGCCATTTTGGGTATGGCGGTGACCATCCCGACTTAGAGTGCATTGTAGGGTGGTGTCCGGCTTCGCAAGAGCCTCGAAGGTTGTGGCCATGGGCAACGGGGAGAAGTGTAGTTTGGTAGAACCAATGGAAGACTTCCTGTTCCCATGGACGACTGGCGGATGATCATCAGGCGCTCATCCAGCATTTCTGTGCCCACCTACCAGGCTGTGCACCATCCACCAAGAATTTGCTGCTTGGACACTGGGAAGTCTGCCTAAAATGCGAATGCCAGTGTCCGTCGACGGATGCAGCAATCATACTCCCAAGTTTCGATAGGAGAGATACAACCTAGGTAGCTAGGTAGGTATATGTGATGATAATGCGTGCTGCCAATGCTGCACAGATGGGGAGTGGGTTCCGTGGAGATCGGCCGAAAATTCCGTCGGCAGTGGGCGATCATCTTGAGCTTGGCCTTGCTTGGCATCCTTGGGATCGGCGGGTGCAGGTCACGGTGGCCATGACAAGACTGCCACAGTGGCCTTTGTCAAACTCTTCCCTCCACTAGGTGAAAATGATTTACTGAAGACATTGATCTACAACGTCAATGTCCCCAGCTCACGATTGGTACAACCTCACCCAGCCAAATGCATCGATTATAGCAAAATTCGAACCTTGGTCATCAACCTCATCCACCAACACGTGATGTTATCACAAATCCCAGATGGCAGCATCAAGACTGCAACAGAAACCAAACCATCTCCCTATACCAACGATGGACAGCTATAGGAGTCGCGAAGCTACTTCTGCTAGAATATAGACGAGAGGTGAAGGAAGATTACCGGTTGGTAAGCTAAGCGGTCGTTGGACTTAGTCCAGAATAGGAGATAAATCTGGGAAAGCATCCGATTGCCAGTGGGGTCTGGTTGCGAACCCTTCCCTATGAAACGGCGGCCTTTTGGTCCGACATACCACTGGATGCCCATTGCCCTTACACAGACCCTGCGCTCTGTCCAACGGTTGAAGCTGGGAAAAAGGGAAAAGTGTCGTCCTAGTACTGTACGTCAGTTCGGCGGTACCCTGCACAGCGGTGGTCAAAACCCTCCGGCCACTTTTGCTCACATCAGCAGATATTGTACGATTTCTCAGAGAATATACCATCACACAACTACAACAGAATAGACTCTCTACTGCTTTTGGTAGGTATCTATATCGGCTTAGGCATCTCTAAGATAGTGACTATTATTTAATAATATCTATGGTGTGCTGCAGTTCACGGTAGTGCACACACTGTTCGCTTACGTGAGCAAAATCGAGTGGCCGGGGAGATTTGACCCCTACGTGCTGAAATCCACCATTTAGTCGACAGCTTCATTTATATTTTGTAATTATACCGGCCAGCAGAAGATATGCCGTACCGCGGATACACATTATCTCGATAGATAAAACTGTGTCCGATACCTTTTTCAAGGCAGTTGATACAGGAATAGAAAGAACACTGATCAACAGAACATGTAATATAATCGATGATTTTCTTGTCCTCAAGCCTGGACCAAAGTCACTCTCCGCCGATTCTTCTCGGCCGCATCAACGTCCGCAAGCTTCCTCCGCGAAAAGACGCTTCTCTCCCAGCCGTCCAATTCGCTGACCCTGGTTTCGCGCACCAACTCATATCTTCCGATCCTGGGCAAAATTACCGCCCACACGAGCCAGTAGAGACCGCCGGCGGCAATGATGCCAATCCCAACCACACAGTGGAGATAGTAAGGAAGATCGTTGTAGACGTTCTGGCCGTGTTCCGGGGGCACGAAGGGTGCAGCGGCAAGGTAGATGTTGCTGAGCAAGAACAACACGACTACGGGCCACGTGGCGCGGAAAGGGGGCGACCAGCCGAATTTGTTGGGCTTGATGTAGAGAAACAGTAGGCCTGCGGCGACGAAGGCGTTCACGATCGATAGGGGGTATGAGATGACATTCAGGATGAAATTGTATGCGTCGCCGGGAGGAGGGGCCAGCATGATGATGACGGACACGAGCCAGTGTTCGAAAAGACCAGCGAGGGGGGCGTTGAACGGTTTGTTGCTTGCCCAGAACCGCGAGAATGGGAGGATGCCTTCACGGCCCAATTCTTGGACCACTATAGCCAAAGAAAAAAAATTGTGAGTATGATGATGAAGCGGAAGAGAGAAGGGGTGATGCAGGCTGGGCTATGTTACTTACGTCGACCTTGAGAGAATATAACGCTCAGAACGTTGCCGAATGCAGACAGAGCCACGAAGACGGACAAGGCTCGCTCGGCACTGTTGCCAAAGACGTTGCGGAAGAATGAAGCGGCCAGAATGCGGCCCGATGACACGATCTCGTCTTTGGGCACTGCGGCAAAATATGCGATCTGGAAAGATGAGATGTGACGTCAGTAGGGGCGAGGATTGTTGAGGGGGCACCTCAATGTGTTGCTATGCGAGCAAGCAGGTGTGTAGCACATTGCAGGGACAATTGAGGAACAATCAACTTACATTGACCAGCATGTAAAGAACAGCGACCGCAATCAACGCTGTCGGTGCAGCAACTTTGATAGTCCTGACCGGGTTTCGCGTCTCGCTAAGCGCGTAGTTAGCGTTGCTGTAGCCGATGTAACTCCAGATAACGTTGTAAAGAGCTGTCACAACGCCGTAGCTAGCCACAACCACTTGTCAGTCTTTATTGAATCCATATTGCTAAGGTGAAGTCACTCACGCGCTGCCCGTTGTCCCAGCAAAGGCATTGTCGAAATTGTGCGGTTTGTCAATCTTGAGTGCACCGCCTAGAGCAGCCTGATGATGGACAAGTCAGCTTCTGAGACCAGCAAATCAAACCATGTAAACATACCCAGCCAGAGACCACAATCAGAAGCACAATGATGAGCTTGATGAAACCAAGAAGGTTCTGCAGGCGCAAGCCCCATTTCAATGCACAGCCATGGATTAGGAAAGCCGCCGTGATGCACGCCAACCCAATACCTCTCTGATTCCACCTGTTGACTTCGACTTTGGCTGCGTTGAGGATATATTCGCCGAAGATGACCGAGTTGGAGCCCGCCCAGCCTATTTGCCGCAGGTCAGTATGCGGATGGGAAGCAGGGACTAGTCACAAAACGTACCAAGAAGAATCACGTAGCCAGTGTACATGCCCGTGGCCAGATACTTTGGCTTACGATAGACGTATTCCAGGTAGTTCTTTTCACCACCGTTCCGGGGTAGACCAGTTCCAAACTCCAGATATACTGCCATGCCCGCACCGGCAATCACCATGCCGGCGACCCAGATGAAAAGACTGAGTCCGACGCTGCCGGACAAGGAGAATATAGTGCTGGGAGTAGCAAAGATACCTGTCCCGACCATTCGGTTGAAGACCAGAAAGAATGCCGACGTCACGCCAATTTGTCGTTTTCCCTGAGAGATGACAGTCTCGACTACCGTGGTATGATTAGCCTGCTACATCGTATCAGAGAATGGAATGCGTCCTGTCATACCTTCGCCAAGTTGCCCAACGCCTGTCGTCGTGGCATCTTTAGAATCTGTTGGTGGCTGCTCGCGAGGGGAACGGGACCGCGTCACTGCAGAACGAAGATTGCCCAACATCGTGATGGGAAGGAGTCGTTCAATATTCTAGCTGCTGCTGCTTTTGCGGGCCAAGGTAAGATAGATGGTACTTTTGAAAGTGTAGTGGCTGAGGGCTGTTGTTGACTATATAAAGCAGGCTGCTCTGACAATAAGCCAGACTAGGTCGGTGGCTGCCTCCTCGACAAGCTCGCTTCAGTTTGCGCAGTTCGATGTGGCATCACAGGCAAGATCCAAGCAGTGCTTCCAGGGAGTGTACACTGTAAGCTCGCCTAGAACGCCATTGTTCGCATACCAGGGATCAGCTGCAAAAGTGGAATGACGGGCAGTGTCCAGCGAATGATTGTCGGGCACAGTCGGCCACAGTCAGCAGAGTTCGAGATCTTGGTTGCAACAGGTTCAATTAGATGGAACAAGTCCCGATCGCGCCATCCTTGGTAGATATTTCTCGACCGTGGACAAGAAGATCAGTCTTTCAAGGTTGCGGCGCTTGTGTCATAAAAATGTCTCGAGGCTGTGATGTTGGCCGCATGTAAGCGAGTACGCGAATTGGCGAATCTCGCACAGAATAGCAGGGTAGCATCGTGACGGATGCTCCGGGCTTCTCGATCGTTTGTGGCGAACAAAAACATCATATTTCATTGATTTGATGGAGCACCAAAATTGCGTGATTGCCAGGGAAAATGATGGACATATCAGAAAGAAAGTTTTTCTTGACGTCGACCCCACCATTCCTTGATTCTTCTATTTCGGCCTGCAGGACACTCCTCTTCATGTACAATATATATGTGCATATTCTGTGGTCTTTGGCCGAGCAATCACTGAACCGGTCAATATGTATGCTGCAGGATGTGGTTGAAGTCCATCACCAACACTTGATGTTGGAATAGTGATTATGGTACATCTGCATTAGAGAGAGTCGCGTGCTCCGAGTCAACCGCTACGTTTGCGGGAAGCTTAGCACTCACGATACTATACCCTCCTGGGTCTAGCTCCGGACTAAGTTCCCCTTCCGTAAGGCTGAAGTATGGAATCGCATGGGGTCATCGGTTGCTGATAAAACAGGTCGAATAGATCCAACCGCCGCCTGGAGCAGGACAAATATCGAGACATAAAACTCAAATGCAGTTCAATTGTAGATCAGCACGAAGCTCCCTGCAATTTTCCCTCAACCGTGAGAGGGCTGTAGTCATTTGCAACTTTTGGGGAAAGGTCAGCACCAATCATAAACACGAGCCTAGCCCAATGTACAATGTTGTACGTGGATTAGACGATGCCACTAACCAATAGAATTTGGTTGAAACGGACGCTGTCAGAAAAGGACCTGGCGGACCGTTCAGGCCTACGAGGTCGCAAGTAAGTTCATCCACCAAGTCAAAAAATGGAAGATTGGTGTATAGAATGAACAATATATGTTCGCCGACTAGACGTCAGCCTTGATTGGAACCTGCCCACCCGGATCGACCTGTTGGATCCAACTTAATGCCCGCTTGACGTATTGATCTTCTTTCGTCTCAACGTTTGCGCCATCCTTCCCTACCTGCTGGAAAGGTTGTAAGACAGATTCGACGACCTGTATCGTGAGTGCACGAGCTTCACCGGCTTTCTTGAGGCACAGTTCCAGGTCACCCAAATACATGCCTTCAGCCGACTCGTCGATAAGTTCAGAGATCTGACGGTTGTGCTTAAGTAGCTTATCCAGCCGCGCAATCTGGTCTTTCGAAAGTTCATCCGCCGACCCTATCTTTTCCAGCCTCTGTTTGATGACCACATGGATGCTCTGAGGAATGCGGTTCAGGACCTTGAGAGCCTGCTCCTTAACTCCTGCAGAGATAGCAGCGCGGTCGCTGTTCTTAGCGTCCTCTTCCTCCTGGTCAAGGCTGCCATCTTCGGAGAGGGCCTCGCCAAATAGATCATGGTCGTCAATGTCGTCTTCGGGGTCCCAATCTTCCAACTCTTTGACTGCGTCCTTCATCAAGTCCAGCCACTCCTTCGACTTTCGAACAACATAGCCCGGAACACCCTCACTGGCCAACGGGACCAGTTTGTCGCAACTGTCCCACACCCTTCCTGTGGCCTCTGTAAATGCCTTCTTTTCCACGGAGGAGAGTTCTGCTTGGACATCTCTTTTCTGACTTCGTTTCTCCAACAGTCGCAAGACGTTTTGCAGATCATGCATAGAGGAGGCAGCGAGCATCCGGCATTCCGCTGAAAACGAAGGTGTAAACCGCTCGGGCGTAGTAAGTAGGGCTGCAGTGACCATAGAGGTGAGTATCGACTCGTTCAACGGGGTTAAACATGTCGTGATCGCCGAGGGTGTGAAAGGGGTCGTGATGGCTAATAAGGACAGCTTGGTGACTTGCGAGCGTAGGGATGTCGCAGCTGCGTTCAAAAGGATGAGCGGAGACGGCTCGTCCGGCTTTGCGGTAGGAACATCAACTGAGGCATTTGGAGCGAGCGAAGTCGCGAACCGCTCACATAGGATGAGGGACGTTTGGAGGGTTGAAGCCAGTGATCCTGAAGTCGAGGGGGGCATTGGATGGCCGTATTACTTTTGCATCCGCTCGACGGGATGATGTTATTTGGATACTTGCTTTCCCATCATATGACCACACAGGGTCGGCTTGCAGGAGAGACGCACTGTTTACATAGAGGAAATACAAATCTAACCGGTCTGGTGTGTGAACGACGTTCGCATTAAATTTAATCGGTCATCACTCGGCGAATAATTTTTCCGGCCACAAGTCAGGCTGAAGTTCTTTCGCAAGGCTGCACCTTGAGACTCATAGTACGACGCCTTTGAGGAGAGCACCAACTGCTCCCTCAGCACCCTCTTCATCCTGCTAACGTCGCCGAATCAGGGCCAACCGTCCTGGAGAGCGCCGCCATTACAACAAGAGGATCGAACTCTGCCATCGGCTGTTCAGGAACCAGCGAGACAACACGCGGTATGCAACATTTGGATTGGGAATGAGTGCCTGTCCTGGAGCTCCAACATCTCCTGTGCACCTGCATTGACTCGGTGAAGCAAGGTGAGTCTTGCTCCTGCTCGGCAGGAACCAGCAAGGACTTCGAAGGCAGGTCTATGTCTCTCACTCTCCACTATATATATTTCCAGAGTTCTTCCTCGCCAATTTTCCGTGCATTTTTTGGTAAGAGGGGCACCCTGACTCCAAGTCCTACAATTCAGCCCTCGTCCGGCAATATACGGTAGGACATACCATCGATCATGTCATCCAATGTGTCAACTCCCACATAGATACAATTCCAGTAGCTGTCGCTCACTCTTCACCAACTCAAAAGGAAATCACAAGTCTCCAGTCAAGAAAAGACCGTCTCCTCGCACGCCATATCATGGTTGGCGCTCGAGAGGCCTTCCAACGTGACACTCCACGCTTCCTTCTCCCACGTGTTGTCCTTCCTCTTCAGAACGCCCACATCTTTGTTGAACATAGCACCAGAGCTATCCTCAGCGGAGTCCATTTACCGTTGGGAGTATGAATCCCGCCGGAACAACTTCACCCTGGCCAACCACGCCAACCACGCCTACAATGACCTGCGGCGTTTTCAGAGGCCATGGCCGAGCTGGTGCCCAAAGAACGGAGGGCGAGGCTTCTGGAAGGAGTGGACATGGTATCCCGTGGGGAGGATTTCATACCCGGAATCCCTCGAGCAACTGCTATTCGGATTCCAGCCAAGATTCCAAGATGGGGATGTCATCCTGGAAGACGAAAGCGGGTTCGGCGAAATTCCAGATACGTAGGTAGCAAAGATGATGCCGGCAGATTCCAGGCTCGAGGCAATCGTCTTTGAAGAAAGGATGTCATGACTAGACGAGATGAGAAACGCTTCATTGTGGGATGCCTCCAGTCAGCGGGAGACACTGTCGCGGATGCTGCATTACTACAGACGCCCCAGGATGGGAACTAGGTTATGCAGTGATATGATATTCGATGAATATGAACATCCACCTTATTTCAGAATTTACTCGGTTGACTTGTTGGCGATTGCGAGTTCCCCACCAAATTTACCATCACCGCGCAGAGGACATGGTGGGAAACTCCCTCCCCAGCCTCGTGGAAATCACACCACTCGTCGAGTCCTGCCTGTTTCGACCTCATAAACCCACCCGCTGATCTTCACACTATCGGGAACGAGCTTCGTCGCCCGCAAGAACTCAACATCGTTCTTGACCGCCTGCTCCAAGTCGGAGAAGGGGAGAAAATCTGGGACTTTGGCTTTGGCTTCGGCCAGTGCGTCAGACCTGTACCGAATGTGCATGTCAGTCAATTACTGGTATTCGGATCAATTTTCGCACTCTGGCTTTAGACGCTGGATTGGGGGGAGGGACGGTGGTTGGCGCCGGGTTTGATTTGGCAACGTTCAACATACCCCAAATTCTGCTCGACCAAGGCATAAGCGTCGTCGTTGGTGAACGTTAACATCCCGCACCCGGTATGTTTGACCAGGACGATCTCATGGGTGCCGAGGAGTTGCTCGGAGATGATGATGCTGCGCAACGCGTCGTGCGCAGATGCTCCTGCCTGTGTGGAACTTGTTATTCACTCGTTCCGACACTCACACTTCTAGTACGGCTTTATCATGTTGGGTTTGCAAAGCAACTTCGTTGTCAGGCACCTTGGGTTTCTACCGCCTTTCGAAACGCATTGATCACGATACCAATCACTATCATTTGGACAGGGTATCCTTGGTTGGGAGCGAGGGTCTAGAAAGAAACACTCACGTTGCGAATGACATGAGCATCGCCCAGCTCGATCCCGAATGCTTGGGCCGGATCGATTCGTGCGTCCATGCATGTAAGGACGAGGTAGTGCTTCGCCGGCGGGAGGGCGAGGTGGCCCTTGGTGAAGGCCGACGAGTAGTGCTCCGAGGCGGCTTCGATTTGCTTTTGGATGGCCGACATGATTGAATGTAGTGGTAGATACGATAGTATAGTATTTGCTTTCTAGTTCAAGTTTGTTGATACAAATTTCCCAAGTGAGTCGAGTTCAAAACGAGATGTACGATGTTGTAGTCTGGACTCTTATTCTCAAGAGCCTTGTACGTCCGTCTCAAACGCGCATTCATGACCTACCTTCGGTACCTAAAGAGCGGGGCATAATCATTGTATCATCGTGGCTTGGGCTTGTCCAGCGTGCTGGAAATGAATGGCAGGTAAGGTGTAGGTTCCCGAGCCTTGCGATGGCGTGCTCGCCTCGAGCTGGTCACGCGGCTGGTTTGACGGATAAACTGCATGGATTGCGGATACATACGATACTACCTGGCTGGAAGCTGCGGTGCGAGACAACGAACACGTCAACTGGGTTGCTGAGAGCGCGAGCTATCTGCCTGTCCGTCTGTCGGCAACATCGATGCAAATCAAATTTGTCTCAATTCATATCATTTCATCTTATCCGCGAAAGAGCATCTAAGCACTCTGCAGACTGTGTCGACGCGTGTCACAGGCTAAACTATATGCGCACATGTTAAATAAATCCAGTATAAAACAAACCACAGGTGGCTCCAACTTCACTCCCACGCTTTGGAAAATCATTCAAACATGTCCATCGCATCTCATCACATCATATCACAGCATATTGACACAGTGCGACCTCATAAACAGAGATGAAGGTGGGCCAGACTGACAGTGTCAGACACTCTTTTCCGCAGCATCGAAATCCCGATTTTCCTCGGCCATGGCGGCACTGTGACCGAGGCCCTCCTCGCGACCGATTTCGGCAGGAACCACGACTGTTTCGCCCTCTCTGGCTTTGAAACCGCCTTCATTCTTATCCTCGCCTCTTTCCGGCCAGAGGATCTGTTTCTGAACGACAGCGCGGATCATGAAGCCCACGACCAAGAACCAAACGGCAATCAACAGACAAGTCATGACACAACCGATGATTCGGACGGCCGCAATATCAAAGGCCTCAGCGACGGCGAAAGTGGCGGTAGTCAACGCGGTCTGCGGGAAGATGAAGCTGAACCAAGTCATGGCGAAAGGCATACGGTGCTCATCACGCAGACAATCGATGTTGGAGACCAAGCTGACGAAAAAGAACCACCACGCCAAACCCCACAGCCACAAGGACATCCAGGTCGCTACCAGCCGCAACACCTGCGCCGCCAGGGTGCCGGGGACCTCTAAAAAGGTCGAAGTAGGTGTCGCGGCAATGACATGCTGTAAGTTCTTTGCCATCCCCAGCGTTCCACTGACGGTGAACGCTGATGGACCAACGGACACGAACATGCCTGGCCGCAGGGGCTCGGCGGGCAATTTTTGCGTCATGAGCCGATACACAAACGCCGAGTAGATGGTCAGGGACACCAAAAATCCAATTCCCTGGATTGTAAATCCGCCCACGATGACTCGGATAGCTTGGTGTGGCGACAACGCTTGCTGCGACAAGTTGGCGGCATGTGGCCCGATGATAAGCAGCGGATAAGCCGGGAAAATCCAGATAGGCGTCATGCGAGCGATGGTAAATGTCAGCGTGGACCAAAGAATCAAATAGATGGCGATGCTTAGGACCACCGCCACGGCCGCGTCGAGCCAGAAAAGTACCAGGACCCCGTGGTTGAGCCAATCGCCTACCCGGCCAGTGCCGTATTCGACTATGTTGATTAGGATCGTGCCAAACGACACGGCGAACGCAGGTACGAACAATGATTCGGTCGGGTGAGTCAGGCTGGCTTGGAACGTCCATGGGTAGAAGGTGAAGCGCATGATCATCATGGCCCATATCCCGATGTAGAAGACGATGTTGAGCAGGAAAAATATCACCCCGATGGTGTAGAGGCCTAAAAATCGATAGGGCACTGAAAGAGTTAGAAATAACTGTACACGGTGCTGCTATTAACGTTCGGCCAGCTTACCGTGATGAAGAACATTGGCAATGCCGCCCGTGGCCATGGTCAATGTGAACCACGCCCAGGTGACGTGTTTCAACCGCTGCCTCCAGGATAGCCGTTTCAATTTATCCTCATCACTGGACGAGGATTCATCGTCTTGAGACGAACTTGAAGTGTCTGTCGAGGACCGGTCTCCGTGAGCCGCCTCGGTTGGGGGTTGTGCAGACCGGGATTCTAGGTTTAGATTTCGTCTTCTCGTCGACTCGCGGTCCAAAGGCCCTTCATGTCTTCTAGTCTGCTCGGGCGCGTTCTCGCGGTCAACAAGGCGAGGAGAACGCCAGAACCCTTCCTTGCTTGGTGGTCTCCAAATCCCGGAATCTTCGCACCCATCAAGGTCTCCGGGGTAGTGGTAACTTAGTGTCCGCGACTTTCGAAGACCAGGTTCATGGTGGTGGTGATGGTGGTGATAATGCGGCAGGGAAGTTGTCGATGGGCAGTGTCCGGTGGACATAGCTTGCACCTCTGGATTGCTCAAGCCGAGAGAGAGATATATTTATGGAATAAAGCCCTCCTATGTCAAGCAGATCGTCCCAGGATCACCAATCGGTGCTGTCGAAACGCCCCGGTGCCGTAACGTCACGGTTTCCTGCCTGTATTTCTGCGCGACCTGTTGTTGACTTGTCCAAAGCCATGGCACAAGGCCAACGAGGTCGTGACAATTTGTGAGAAGACCAAGCAGGGCGGACAAAAGGAAACTGATTCTTGATTAACGTCTTGAACAGCGTTCTGGAAGTCTGGAACCCGATGGTCACGCGGATTGAACCGCCCGCGTGAAAGACGGGGATCTTCTTAAGAGTCCCCCGAGACGGGTCTCACCACGATATAATCGAAATATGAAAGACCATGACAGTGGCCATTGTATTTTTGTAGTGACGAGTATCATGAAAGTAGGTAGTTATAAACCCTCAATTATGGAGATGATTGCGTCGCCAGAAGATTGAAAGTCGTCCGTAGTAGCAGCGACGTCCACGTACAGTAGTACTGGGTTGGGGAACCTTAGCAGCCTCATAGGCCCGAATAAACAGCGAACCAGTGGCGGAGAAGTGGAACAGCAAAAGAGTGGCGGCGATGCCGTTGTTTCCGGCTGTGAAATTCAACCAACAATCCAACGAGCTTTTCCGGAGCAAATCCACCACATCTTGCAGTGCCAATGTGGGAGCACAGTAGAGCCACTCACGATTCGGGTTTGGCGGCTCGATCTCACAAGACACTGGCAGACTCGGATCATCAGGTCGTGCGTGGTGGGGAAAACTTCAAGTTGAAGGCTGGTCCAGTGTCCTGTCGCTTTAGTGCGCACTTGGTACTCTTACGGTTAGAAGCCACTTAGCGCGCATAAGCGATATTCAAGTTCAACAGGCTTGAAGTCATTTACTACGAGTTTGCCCATTGGCAGTTGAATGCGAACGCGAGCTGCAGAACACACTGTAATGTCTGAATAACATTGTCCAAAGGATGGCAATCTGTCTGAAATATCGTGAAGAGGTAAACTTGAAAGGAGTGTTCGCACACCGCCCTCTTGATTTCGACGCCTATATTTCCACGGCGGGGTAGTACATTTGTATGGCTCTGTCTGAAGCGTCCTAGCCGCAGCTCAACTCTCAGCCCTACAACATTGTACACCGGGACGATCTTCTAAGAGGGAGCGAACGGAACTGGGAATTGATATAGATAGAGGAACTACACCAAGCCCGGACAGCGTGCTGTGCATTTCATCTGCTTCATAAGCCTCAGGCCTCCACCGCCGGGAAAACATATCTTGGTTGCTACCAAGGGGTAGTGCGGTAGATTGCCCGTGTGCTGCAGCGCCAGTGTTGCTTACCACCTACGCGTGTGTGATTGGCCGAGATCTCGCTGGCCCCGGAGTGTCAAGCCTGAGGGGGTCAAGATTTCAATCGGACTCCGCAATTAGTTCAAGTTTCGTGCCCGATGGACTGCGGTGCCAGTGTCCCTCTCGCGCGCAGCTGCGCGTGTGTCTGCCAATGTGTTCGTCTCCCTTTTTGCTATTTCTAAATATATACCTTGGCTGAGATAGGAACACAGTGGTCGTAGTAGTCTTCAGTCCTCGGTCCTCGCTACTCCTACTTGCACACGCATCTCCATCTCCGTTCACCTTTTGTCTCTGCGATTGTCTGCCCTTGAACTTCGCGTGTTGCTCCCAATCCTTGCTTGAGTCCTAGCCCTTCACGACCGCAGGCACGCGTGCGAATAGAGAACTCGAACACACCAAGCCACCATGTCCTACTCGACACACCTACAGAGCAAGTTCGCCCACAAAGTGGGCGAGCCAGTGCCTGAATTCAACACCGAGTACGTTCCTAACCATCCAAATACACCTCCAACACTTAGACAGGTTTACTAACACGTCCACAGACATCCAGCACACCCAGCGATAGTCCACTTCCCCATCGCCTTCAACATGCTCTCATGGGCTCTCGACATCCTCTACGCCTTGACAGCCGTGTATATCAAGCCCGGGTTCCTGACCTCGCGCTTCGCCGAGCCCGCGACGCTCCTCGACCTGAACCGCCTCTCGTATTTCTTGCTCTGCGCAGGCCTGATCAGCACCGTGCCGGCCATCATGTCAGGCAACATCCAGCTGGTGGGCATGATCAAGAAGAACGGTGGGCCCTGGGAGAAAGATGCTCAGGGAAAACAAAAGGACACCATGGTGCCGCGGATCAAGGCCGCCATCACTCATGCTCTCATCAACGATTTTGTGTTCGTTGCAAACTTGTACAGTTGGTATATTCGCAAGAATAACGGCACTGTGGGAAGAGTGCCCAGCCAGACCAATTTGCTTATCAGTGTGGTGCTGTTGCCCTTGTTGATTGTGTCGGCCAAGATTGGTGGTACCCTCGTGTTTAACCATGGTGTGGGCTTGAACTTGGGCAGGAAAAAGTGGGAGTAAAATTGGTGTCTACAGACCGGCGCTTATTGAAACCTACCTACACTATTATGCGAGGTCAATTGGAGATTTCTAGGGGAAAGTTGTCCTGGGACTCGAGCGAGAGGTTTTGGGTTCGAACCAGGTGTCTCTCTGCTCAGACAGATACAGGCTGGGATGAGCAGGTTCTGTACGAAGCTGCAGGGCATGAGCCTAGTTGGTCATGCCGCCAATTTTGGAGAAGGAGCAGGTATTACTAGAACATTGAACTTTGGCGCACTGCGTTGAACATATTGAATGGCCGGGCATAATAATAAAAAAAGTATAATTCTGGGAGAATTCAATATGACACAGCTACGAGTATCCCAAATTCTTGTCATCACAACTCCTTTCACGCCATGCCTAGATAACTGGCAGCCTGATTTCCTAATAGTCCTTTAGTGGACATCCCTTATCCACACTCTGGGAGCCAAACTTTTCCTTGACAATCTCTCGAGTCAGCTTCATCAGCTGCTCGCCCAGCTTGGCGTTCTGCGACTGCTCAGTCCCCGGCTCTGCAATAGCCGGCGGACAGACATACTCGCCAGACTTGGTGGTGGTGGTTGCGGCATACACTGTACTCGTACAACCCATCCAGATGTCCTTCACAATGTGCCTGACGGCCAGCGGCATGATCTGCCCGGCATTAGGAAACGGCTCCTTGATGTCCTGCATCGACTGCTTCGTCTCGACGAAGCCGGGGTGCGTGGCGTTGATCAGAATATTTGGGTGCTCCTTGTGCAAGTGTGCATCTAGGTACCGAGCATATAGCAGTACCGCCAGCTTTGATCTTGCATACTGAGCATTGGCCCCCAAGTCGGTATTGAGCTCGTCGAGCGATTCAAACTTGACGTCCTTCGGAGCATCTGCATGGGATCGAGATGATTGTACCTGCACCCGCACAGTTTGGCTCTCGCTAGTCTTCTTTAACAGTGGCAGCAAGTGCGAGGCCAGCGTGACGTGTCCAAAGTGGTTGATGGCCATGTGTCGATCCAGCCCATAGTCGGTCAATTGAAACGACATGATTCCCCGAGCGGCGTTGAGGCACAGGATATCAAGCCGATCGGTCTGGTCACGGACTTGCTTTGCGACGTTGGCGACGGCGGGGAGATCGGACAGGTCGCATTGCAGCCAGGTAACTCTGTTGGCATACTCGGATCCCAGATTCTGGCGGATCTCTTCGACCGCATCGTCTTTGACGTCCTCCTTCATCGACACGAGGAATACTTTGGCCAGATTCGCTTTGAGGAGCGTATATGCCGTGGCATAACCTATGCCTTCACTTCCGCCCGTGATTAAGGCCACCTTACCTGACAAGTTGGGGACATCTTTGTTGATGTCGAACTGATCTTCTTTATCGGCCAATTTATGTGAAATGCCTCCCAGGTTTTCGGCAAGTGTTGTCTTGATGGTATCCATTTTCGACGATGATCGTGAGGGTGTGTTTGAGTAGAGACGCAAGGGAACCCACAGTGTCGGGCAAGCTTGCTTTAGTGGGCTCTTCGTTGTAAATGTGACGATTGAAGACCTGAGAGGTGATGTGGCACGGTAAAGAAAGGACATAGGAGCGAAAGAGTGGTTTTCACTACCAGCTGTTATTATAACCAGTGGTCAGTATTTCATATGCACGCCACAGGCTGACCGGTCAACCTGCAGGTTATTTACAGGATTCACCGTTCGTTCTACAATGCCGGGGGCCAAGTGCCGTCAAGGTCATGATGCATGCCTGTGTAGGGCCATGGCAGAAGACAGGTCATGAGTGGGATCATCGCCAGAATGAAATGGTCGATGCGCGGATCATACACCATGTCATGATGTCGTTGTTCCAGGAGATGGGTAATTCACGGAGGCCTATTGGTAGGTCGGGGCATGGTCTGTGAAAGAACCGACTGAGCAGTGGGTTCTCAGAAATATTGGCACAGGGGCTTTTTAAGAATTATTGTTTTTATAATTACTTTATTAGACAACTTTTTGTATCTCGTAAGTGTGTGTTCTGGTGCAAAGGGTGCCGTTTCGCGACGTCGTCTGTAGCCGCTTTTGTGGTCCATCTGCACCGACCGACTCTGGGGATTCTTTCACTGGTTTCCTCATTTCCTTTCCACCTGCAGTCATGCTCCCATCCTCACCAAGACGGGATCTAATCCCTTGCACAGACATTAGCTTTTCTTGTCCGTACAATCGTCTTGTATTGTCTATGATGGTGGTGATAGCTGCGGGTGGAGGCTCCAGCTCCAGGCGAGATCAAGCTTCTGGTGGCAAGACGAGATGCTGAAGGGTTGCGGATGCCTTGCGAGAAACCACTGGCACAGAAAGCACGATTTCTTACTGACACCAATAAAGCGGAATGATGGTCTCCTCTTGGGGTTGTGATCGTAGAATCAGAGCAGTCATATTTCAGCGTGGACAGGCAGGTGTAAAGAGTAAGTATTTCGGAAACGGGCTTCGGGGTCCTGAACACCCCCTATCTGAGCTAACCGGGAGATATAGCTGTTCACGGCCAGCCTCGTTTCGTTTGAAGGCCTTGATCCCACTTCACATTCTTTTCGAGATAATCTTCGGGGAAGTCTGCCGCTGAGGGCACTGCGACCCGAGAATGTGCCTGCTGATGTCCTCTCACGTCTGCTTGCGCCGGGAATAGAGAACCCTTGACTGTCATCGTAAAAGGATCCTGGATTCTTTTGTCTTTGCTTAGCGTGGTCTTGACAAGGTCGCAGGTCGGTCTGAGGTGTGAGAGCGCCTCCCCGTCCAATCGCTTTTAAGAGTCCACACCTATATATTTCACGGTGATCCAGCAATCACCTAGACGTCCCTCATCTCTCATTAGGGCTTTCAAATGAACGAAGTCAGATTATCCTCTCCTGTAAGTACCTTCGAAGTTCTACTGAGTCGTCTGATCACCATCAGAATTCTGTCCAGAACTTTTCATTGTTGTAATACCAAAAGTGAGGAGTACTCGAAATACTTCATCGTTCAACTGGAGCGCAACACGAGGGCTAATTACAGACAGTAAAGACTTCCCCTAGCCGCGAACCAATTTTTCCAGCCGGAGGTTGCAGAAAAAGACCGAAGAGATATCGAGAGCACTGGCAGTCGAGATTACCACCAGCTGGAAAGGTCTGATTCCACGCTTAAGATCGTCCTGCTGGGCGAGGGCAGAGCGGGCAAAAGCGCTCTGTTTAAAAACCAGACGCCAGTCACTTCTCATTGAAGAAAACTTCAAACGAGGCGAGCCTTACTTCTTCATCTTCGAGAAGGAGCTGAATAACAACATCTGCAGTTCAAACATCTCTGTCAAGTCGAAGACCAATTGATTCCTACTTTCTTTCTTCGCTACGCGCGCGATGTTGAATATCAACGTTCAGCTCACGACCTCCAATGGCACTTACAGAACTCGATGGCACAGCTCAGCTTCATGTTCGCAAGACGACCTTACCTGAATCCTAACCTAGAATTCCTACACGTAGAATTCTCTGCCTTAACTACAGACGAACGCCTTGTCCACTTGATTATCATCGATATCTCTTCTTCATTGATTGAGGCGTGTTATATGTGACTTTAGAAAAGGCAAGCCGGTTCTTATTGAACGGATCTACTAGATTAATGTACCCGACCATCAGTACTCGAGAAAAAATTATCGAATACCATCCGGGAATATCAATTCATGGTCTAGGTCTTACTATTAGTACTCAATTGTGAGAATACGAAAACAGGTCGTCGAGAGGGAGTCGTTAAATTGGCTCAGGAGATTCTGAATTTGTTCGATCAAGGTGACTTCACTTTCAACACCTGTCAAGTTTCAAGAGCACGGATAGTTCCAGAACAGTAGAAGGCACACATTATCACTGAGTTGCGGCGGCTTTGGAACAACATCTAGCTCTCTGAGTTAGAGCTAAGATGTCCAATGGTTTCATTTGCTGAATCGTCGTGTCAAACTCCATGGTGAAACGAATACGCCGTGTCAGGGTCGTGGAAGCGAAGCTCTCCCGGGTGGCAGAAGAGCTGATGGCTACCTAGGTATGTATACCTGTGACTTGAACCAACTCAAGAAGAGAGAAAACCACAAATACACGAAGTCCAGACCGGCAGGGTCATCGGAAATCGGCACTGCATCCGGTGTCCGTGCCACCTTTATGACAACACTGTGATAGATCAGGTCTCATGACTCGTTAAGTACAGCGAGTGGAACAACAAGCTGACTCGTGTTCGCACTACCTAGTTCCAAGCTATCCAAGGCCTTTGTCTGCTTAGAAACAGAATATATAGGCAGCAGCTCAGGTCATCAAATTCAAAAGTCCAGTAACAGACAACGGAGAATGCGTGAGTTTCGTGCAAGAATTTCGTAGCTCAGAAAGACGCAGGAAATCATGACTGCTGTGTAAGAGCAGAGCTACCTCCTCGGAGCGTCGTAGCGAGACTTGGACAAAATCTTCGATTGTGGGTGAATCAGAGCTTGCGATTGATGGCGACAATGAGTACTGAGTACCTAAGTGCCAGCAACCATGTCAGCCTGACACCACCACCAGCTTGTTGTCGTAGCAGTGCTACCGCAAGCCCGCTCGATGCAAGAGCTCTTGCTTGAATTCTGTCGCACTGACTTTCATACGGTCTGAAGCACCGCGGTTCTCGATGAGTCGGCGAGTCAAGTACTGCATGCACTCCTGAAGGCTGCCCCAGGTCAGACACTTGTACACTCTGGGCACGTAGGCATCGGCACCAAACGAGACTCGATCGGCCTTGATATCCTCGGCCATCTGGATAAGTTCGCAGCCAATATCATCGGCCATGCCCTGGAGCTGGCCAAACTCGGGCCGAATTTTCAGCTTGTTGTCTGCAGCCAGGTCTACTGCGAGGCGGGCGGCGGCCCGAATGGTCTGGGTGTTGTGCCCCGCAAGCAAAAGATCCACTTCGTCCGCCTGCTGGTTAGCCTGCGCGGGAAATCTGCCGCGGAGGAGATCCTCGACGATACCGTTGTAGGAGGCGTCCGTGTCTTCCTTTGTATCGTGAATTCGGTCGCGGATGTCATTCGCAATGTAGGCCCCTCGGACCAGTTTGATGCCGAGCCGCCAGTTCTCTTTGTCAGCCAGTTCTAATTGTTGTTGAACCTTGACTCGGGCCGATTTTAGATATGCCTGGACGGTGTTGTAGACCAGTGCCTGCTTGCCGGGCGTGTTGTACCGGCGCATCAGGTCGATCGTCCACTGATCGATGGTCGATTGTAAGTATTGCTGCTCCGCATCAATCCAGATGCGGCAACCTTTCGACGCAGCATACTCGCAGATCCTGTCTATAGCCTTGACGAATCGTTCCGGAGCGGCGTCACCGTTCATCAGAGCCTTGGTGATGTTGGTTCCTGCGCCGGTGAATCTAGACCAACGTCAGCAACTGTGCCTCTCTGCTTTTCGCTCCTTAAAGGGGGTTTGCCTCGTACTTGATGCCGAGCCAGTCGCCTTGTCCGATCATATCGAGCGTCTTGATATTCCCGTCCTCCCATTGCGCGATCTCGCTGTTCAAACCTTCTGCCGAGCCAAGATCGTAGCCAGCGAATCTATCTCCCTGGACCTGGACCTCTTTGCCGTAGCACAGCACAACACCAGAGAACCCGAGGCGTCGAATCTCTGCGGAGGTGCGGGCAATCTCTTCTTGGTTCCGTCCAGCGCAAAACTGCTTGTACACCAAAGGATAAACAATCATCCGCAGCAACGGGTTTCTGTCCGGGTTCAACCATACGGACGGCGAGTTTGCGATCTTCTCAAAGACCGCCAACCCAGGTTTGAACAGTAGGGGAGATTTGAAAAAGGTGCTCAGCAGCAGCGTTCGGAGAATGCTCGATGTTGATAGTCGGGCTAGTGGACGACCGGACTGACCACGTCCTAACTGAGCAGCCTGTCTAGTAGGCAACGCCCCTGAAGTTTCCTTCGCCTCAATATCCTTCGCCCCAGTTTCCTTGGCCCCAGTTGCTTTCGCCCCTAGGCTGTGGTCAAGCCTAGTTGATGTCGACGACTGGAATCGGAATTGAGGTTTCCTGGAGTCTAAAGGCCGTCGAATGCTGGGCCGCGTCCTCCAGGCCGTTTTGGTTACCGATGAAGCCATGGACATCTATGAGTAAGACCTGACGATGGTCTAACAACGGCATGGTGCTTCTACAGAAGATCGTGTTATAGTGAAGCCTGTAGGATGTTTCGGCGTCCGGAACCGCCACTTACGGCTGGAGTAACCGAGCGTGCCTGAGGAGGATCTAGAGCGGAGAACGGATGCGGTGCTGAGACGGATAGATTGACCATCGTTCAGAGGAATGTCCCCGAGATAAGGCTCAGATAGCGTTCAATCCACAGCAACAGTTTAGTAACTTTGCGGATGGAAGAGCCGAAGTCCATCACAGCCGACTTCTGAAAGGGCCGTCTGTGATTTCACGGAGGACTTGTCCTATTTTAACGGGGCCTAGGGCCTCGTCAGACTATATACTTTCTAGAGGTTATACGATAGCGTACGACGCTAGTCGAGATCGAAAGATAGTCCTCGACGTCTTTATAATACTTAGTATCTAAGAGTATCTATTATATTATATCTTCCTCTATCTAGACTATCGAATAGTCTTATTCGTCGCCGAAGAATATCGAGTATTCTAGTTAGCCTTATAGAAGAGAATAAATAGTATTTCTATATTCTAAATATTCCGTTTCCTAAATAGCTCTATCGTTAGAATAGATATTTATAGTATCTATATCTTAGATATCTATCGAGACGCTTAAAGCGAGTATATATCTTTTATTATTAGCTATTAGAGTAGTATATACGCTCGAAATAGTAAAGCTAAATAAATCGAGGGTAAATTAAGATCGTTAAGATAGTAAGTAAATAGAGTCTATACGCGTGATAGTACTCGTCGTTACTTTTTAAAGCTAATTCGAGATTAATCCGGCGGGATTTTAAGAAGTATAAATAGATATCTTTTACTTCTTTTCTTCTTACTTTCTTTTATATCTCTTTCTAGTCGTTTATATTTCTAAGCCCTAAATCTTTTATTAATTAAAGCTAAATCTTTTATAACTACTATTATAGTTATTATATTATCTAGATAAGTTAGAACGTCGACTAGACTATAAGTTCTAAATACTTAGTACTATCGATAAGTTAAGAAGATAGTTAAAGACCTACTAGTAACTAAGACGATAAAGACGACTTTTTTCGTAAATATATCGTATTATATCGAAAGATATAGTTACTAATTCGTTTCTAGATCGATAATAATATTTATAGCGTTAAGTCTAGCGATATAGTAGTTAATTCTATTATTTAGGCGAAATAGTACTAAAAGTAGTTCTTTTCTCCTAATAATAGCTTATCGATTTAGCTATATAGTTATATTTCTCGAAGACTTATTAAATTTTACGATTAGAAAGATATTACTAATATATATATTAGAAATACTCTTATAAAGTATATAGTAAATATCGTAAATAATTTACGTTACGAAATATATCTTCGTATAGTTAAACTAGACTTATATTAAAAGTCGATATTTCTAAAGTACGTTTTAATATCTATCTTTAATACGTCTATTTCTATAAATTCGATATATCTTTTCGACGGAAAATATATAATTTATACTATTCGCGAAGTTAATTATTCTTTATTTAGTAATTAAGGTATAAGTAGCGAAGCTTCTAGTCGTCGTCGATCTACTATATTAATATTAACGCTTATTTAAATATATAATACTAAGAAACGTCGTACTTAATTTTCTAAAATATAGAAAGAAGATCTAGTAGAAGATATAAAAGAGGTATATTTTAGTAAGAGAATAAGTAATCTATATATAGCCGATAAAGCTAGAGAGATAAATAGTCGTATAGCTATCGAGATTAAAGGTCTAGAGAATAAATTCGACTTCGTATTATTACTATAAATAGATATAGAAGATCGATATCGAAAGATATTAATCGCTATCTAGAAGATAACGTAGTAGACTTTAGACCTATACTATACGTTAAAAACTATTAAAGTTATTTATAGAATTAATAAATTCGATATATATATAGAGTAATATTCTCTACTAACGCTAACTTAATAAAGTTATTATTCTATAATATTTATATCTTTAGTAAGAATAGAAGTTGTTA